ATGAGCTTATGTTAGAGTCTTAAAACATTTGACCGTTGGCAATTTTTTTCATAGACCGTGAAGAGTATAAAAATACTACTGAAACTGAGTATTGTTAGAACAACGGTTTTAGTTACACACGATACCTTAATTCAATGTTTATTTCATCATTTCGGCTTGTAACGCAATACAAGAGGAAGCTTGTAGAAGTAGCAAACGACGGCCCCTGCAGGAGCCTATCTGATATGAAATTTACTTTTCATTTTCACTTTAGCATTTCCTGCTTTGAGCAGTAATTTTTTTTCACGTGAAGTTTGAGAATTTTGAGAATTAATTCCCCTTACTGCCATTTATTGACGCACGACGTCAATTCAAAAACATATTTGGGTTTTATAAGAAATATAACCAAATATAGAAGCTTCAAAGCGTTTTAAATTAAACCCACTAGAACGGCACACAACTATCTGATCTGTGTATAGCATTATCACGTTCTCATCACGCTAGAAAACGTGGATACCTTATTCATTAATGGCCCTATGCATTGATGATCAGCACGTAATGGCCAACTGACTGGAACAAGGGAGAATGGACCCCAGTTCACAAGAAAGATGATCAACTGCAAAAAGAAAACTATCGTCCTGTGACTGTGCAAATTGTTATTAATAAAATCTTTGAGCAACTCCTTTCTTCCCAAATCACTGGTAACTATAATAATCGCCTGTGTGACCATTTGACTGCATATAGAAAGAGGAACAGTTGCGAGACTGCCTTGTTAAACCTGACTGAGAGCTGGAGGCACTCATTGGACAATGGGGAGTGTGTTGGTGTGTTGTCAACAGATATGAGTAAGGCGTTTGATTGTCTGTTCCCACCACTCATGCTGGCTAAACTAAGAGTATACAGTTTTGATGATGTAAGCCTCAAACTCATGGCATCATATTTTGAAAATCACCAAGCAAGAGTGAAGCTAGGGAACACAACAAGCGAATGAAGGAAGGTGGTAAGAGGGTGCCCTCATGGCTCTTCTCTTGGGCTTTTGATGTGAAATCTTTATCAGAATGATCTGACTTATGTAATGAAGTCGAATATCTCCATTTATACGGATGATAACCAGTTTTTCGAAGCAAGTAAAGATGTCCAGTTAATCCAAACAAGATTACAGGAGAGTGCAGTTGCAGCAACAAGTTGGTATAAAGAGAACTGTTTACAAGGAAACTTTACTAAATATGGTAGCATGCTCATTAGCAAGCAAAAAGATGCCAAGATCAATATTGACATAGACAGTAATAGAGTGTCCCACTATCAGAACATTAAATTATTAGGTGTAGGCATTGATTCTCAATTGACTTTTAATGTCCATATAAATGAGATTTGCAAAAAAGCTAGTCAGAGAGTAGGGGTAATGACAAGGTTGCATAACTTGATACCAACCACTGCTGAGCTGCAGCTGTATAAGGCTGCAGTCTTGCCCTATTTGACTTACTGCAGTACTGTAAAGCACTTTTGTAGGATGCAAGAAAAGTGGAGCATATCCAGGAGAGGGGTCTTAGGGCAGTTTTCCGTGACTGGAATGCTAACTATAGGCAGTTGTTAGAATGGGCTAAATTGCCCACCCTAGTGAATCGTAGATTGCAAGATATAGCGACCATCATGTATAAAGTAAAATTTAAGCTAGCACCAAGCTATATACAAGATTTATTTTCAGCAAATCACACAGTGTATAACTTAAGAGTTAAATAATATACTATTCCAAGATTTAACTCTATTAATTGTGGCAGGCATTCCCTTAGGTATTTAGGACCTGTGCTATAGGCTAAGCTACCTTCCAGTATTAGGACGTTGAATTCACTAGCGGGTTTTAAGAGGGCAGTTAGAGGAATAGATTTGGAAAAATTAATGGACGATGGTGGCTGTGTGGGCTGCTTGGTTTTGCAGTGCATGATTCTTAGTTTATATCTGAGTTAGGCTCAGACTCTTCCTCCCCCCCACGTCTTAAGGTCCCCTAGCCTAATTCTGCTGACTACAAATTTTATGCTATTTATAGTTATTTATTATTTTATTTAAATTATCTTGTTGTGTCCTTACTTAGTGGTTTTATTACTGCAATTTTATAATTGACACATGAATGCAAGTTCATCATGTGAAAATCAATAGGTTTCCGCCACATAGGAACTTTTCTGTTCATATGTGGCACGACGAGTCAAATCGAAACAAACCGAGGAAAATTATGATTCAAATGACCATGCTTCACAAGTCTAACCAACAATAACTATAGACTCGAGGATGAGATAATTTCAAATTCATTGTCGTCAGGGACGGAAATTTCACTATTTTAGAAACGGCTCTGGCTTTCTTTCAGCGACCCAACGGCAACCCCGGAAACGTTTACTTCAGAAGCCGCCATGTTTTCTTACGGTAAAGTAAGTTAAGAGGCTTCAAAGACGAATTACCAATCAAACTACCATGATTCAAATCACGGTTTTTAAATCATCTTTAAGTTAGAGAGGGTTGGATGTGTTTAATGTCTTGATCTTCATGTCATCGCGGCTAGGAAAATTAAAATTGTCTTGTTTAAGACAGACAAATATATAGAATTTGTTATCATAATATCTCGTGACAAGGTCGTCTGCGGTATCTTTTCTGAAGTTGAAAATTATGAATTCACTGTGACTTCATGTGACAACATGGCTAAAAAGGTATCCTAACGTTCCTAAGTACTTAAAGAAAGAAAATACAACAAATACAACACACTGCAATCAACAGGATTTTAGATACCTTGCATATTGTGTTTACAGAAGCGAATTAGTTTCAAGATCAAAACTATCTCTTCTGATTTCAAAATATAGAAAATAGAGCAGAGGAAGAGGAATTCCCACCGGTGTTAGGGGATACGTAGCAATGTTTTACGAAGCAAAACAGAGCATAGAGACACAAACATAGTAAAAATCTCGTTTCCATACGGTAGTCCTTTCTAGGAAATTTATTTACCCGGAAATAACAGTTTCTTCATAACATGGAACTCGCAAACACGAAATGGCTTAAGGTAAAGCTACTGAACCATTTCTGAAGACTGAATTTTGTGTATAACATCGATTGACTCCTCTTGTGCTCAGGATAATGCAGTGTCCTTATACGTTCAGGTCGTGGCAACGTCGAACAGATAAATATTTGGCGACAAGATTCTTTATTGTATCGAAGGCTTAGATGAAAGTTTTGAGGTAGGCCTCGTGACTGTGGTTCACAGCTTCAATAAACATCTGTTGAACTTTGTGCAAAGAATACAAAAACAGCTATTAATATTTATAACATCCAACCTAAAAGAAAGCTAACCTTTTCTTCGAGTACATTTCATTGAGCTTGTTTAAAGCTGTTGTCGCTCGTCAGTGAAGTCAAATGGCTGATTTCTGACTACAAACCTCAATTGCCGATTCTGCAAAAGACTCCTAATAGGGAACATAGCCGCTATATTTCCTCCCTTAGGAAGTAGGGAAGGCTTAATATTCCAAATGGTATGTTGCGCCCCTAACTCAATTTAATTGTTTCGTTTTCAGTTTTCTAATACCCAACTTCGCTAGTAATGCCTCAAACTGAATGCTGGAATTGGCCGAACCAGTACCAGGTCGCTCAAGAGGCGTGTTGCTTCTCGGTGCCTCGATATTTGTAGTTATTGTCTGAGATGCAGAGCCAAAAAAGCTTCGAAAATCCTCTTAAAGGCGTGTGTTTACCAACTTTTTTCATGATGGGCTGATGAGATCTTTGATCTGTAGGGGAATATGAAAATGACCGTGGGCATCCCGAAAGGTACAAAACTTTAACGAGAACCTTTTGTTTCCAATTTATGTGTTCGTGCGGAAGTCCGTAATAAGTTGTTACCTCTTCCGTTCAAATCCGATCGAGGTAGACCTTTTGGAGCTGAAATGGAAACTATGAACGTATAATTAAAGTTTAGGCCTCAAAAGCGACGGAATTAGCTCTGGAGTAAGGGAAATGTAATTCTCAAAAGGGCCAGGATTCCAACGGCCGGAAAATGAAAACAGAACTTGCTGACTTCAAGGGAGGCTTTGCGACATTTTTGCTCTTATTTGGACTGGTAAATTCTACTTTAAGTGTTGATATGTTCTTAAGGTATTTTTCAATCCCGAAAAATCTGTATGTTACAATCATAAATGTTTATTTCTGGGGAAAACTACAGAAGTAAGGCTATCAGTTGTTTTCCATTGAAAATCGAGCAAAGAAAAGAAAAACATGCAGGATGGAATCTATAACTGCAATGGGTGAACAAAACGTTTTACCGCGAAATGTAAATTAAAGATTTTCTTCAATTGGCGTACCTTACAGAATATCTTCGGCTATTGTAGCATGTTCTCCTGGGCCCATCATAGAGCGAAATAAGATCGTTAACATATACTTTTTTAAACATCTGTGAAGCTTTTCGAGACTATAAAATAAAAAGGATTGAAGCTGCGTAAGACAGAATGGAACTGAAAGTGTAACAACTCATTACGGACTTCTGCACGAATCCACGAATTGAAAATAAGGTTTTCGATACAGTTTTGTACCTTTCGAGATGTCTACGGTCATTTCCCCGTTTCCACACAGATTAAATGATCGCGTCGGCCCATCATGGAAAGTAAAAAGGTTTGCAGATCGACAAATCTAAAAGAAGCGGCCGTGATATCATTAACCATGATACAGAGCAAGATTGGTCCCTGGACAATTATAGTTAGTTGATAATCCATTTACAACAACTCTTCGCTTTCTGTTAGTGAGAAGGCTTATTAAATACATTCTGGGATGCACTTGTTTTGGTACACCCCCGGACAATCCAAAGTATTTTATAGGTTGTGAATGAGGCCCTGTGTGTCGATTTCCTTTCATTAGTGTCAAGTTTCTCCTCTAAACAAAACCACGTCGAGTTGAAAAAAAAATACGTTTTTATACTCTTAGTTTTTCTCTTTCTCAGTTTTTAAAAAAAAAAAAACTGTGTTATTTGGGACTACGAGAGCCGAGGGGACGGTTCATGTATTATTTATTGATAAATACACAGACAGATCGAAGGCGAAATTAAGTATTTACAGTTATATGATAAAACTAATAAAGTTTTAATTCTAATGGTATATGTAATTATACCAAGGATAATGATATAGAAATACTAGTCTTCTGAGTAAACTGGTGGTAAAAACGTAGACTATAAAGATAAATATTCTTTTAAACACGAGCTCATTAAAAATGTGTTTCTGAAACGATCTGTTTTCCATTTTAGGACGATAATTAGACCCTGATTAACGCAAGGTTTATCCATTATTATACATTATTTATACTTTATTAAGATCCAACTGCTAACATTGTACTCGCATAAAAAGAAGCAGAAAATACAAACATTTGATGACAAAAAAAAAATTAAGTTGTAGCGCAGGAGATAAACGCCTTGCACTATAGAAGAACCTTGCAAAAATCGTTTTCTACAGCAGCAAACACCAAAGAGATTAAAATCAGCCAAAGAACGGTGAAAATTGCTAAAATGCCACTTAATTGTGAAAAACACTTCGCTGATCTCAAGGGATGCTTCGAAAATTGGTATGTTCAGACATAAAAGAGAGGAAGAATTAAATTGAACTAGGGGCTACGAGGTTATGGCATCTTTTGACATATCTACCTTTGCAAAATGCAAAGAATAATTCATAAACTAGCACATTTTCGTAGTCAGCAACTTAACGATTCTCTAGATTGGCAATGATCTTGGAAATAAATGTAAAAAATATATAGAAAAAAAAATTATAAGAATAAAAACCATGCACGTAAACAAAGCCAACTAGCCGGTAATTTCAGCTGGCACAATGTTTCTCAGCCGTTGACAATCCTCCTCTAGTCGGATGCTTCGGCTTTCCTTGCCAAGAGACGAATAACTACCTTTGTGTTTAGGCCTAGCTGCTTCAGAGAAGCCTGGTTTAGCTTTAGATTATTTTGTACTTGTGACGCGAGTTCTCTGGCGTTACTTTTCCCCATCAAACGCAATTTCAGAATGCCTCCAAGAAGAGAAACCTCGATACATTCTAATAAATGAAAATGGATACATGTGAGCAGGTGCCAAGTACCAAAGCATTAAAATGCTTTATATTTTATGAACTAAGTAAAAGTTACAAGCATTTTCAAAACTAATGGGGTAACATATAGAGTAAAGAAGTGGTTAGGCTGCTTGCGTAGAAATTATCCAGGAATGCTGTTTAGAAACCTCATGCTGCTTAGGTATGACATTTTTTATCTGGGCGCGACAACTGCTTCTCTCTAACAAAACTGTAGCGTTGCACAAGTAGAAAAACAAAAAAACAAACCAACAAGCATTGACCTTCATCCCCATTTATTTCCTTGGCTTCATTTTTTTTTTTTTAATTCAATTATATTTTTTTGTTAAGCCAAGCTGCAATAACTGCAGACCACCCACAATGGCCAACCAACCCATGATATGAGCAACTTCTTAATCTAATCTGTTATTTTATCATCGATGCAACTACTCTGTCTTAAACCCCGTAAGTACTCGTCATACATACATCAAAGTGTACAAGTATGTGTATGAAATAATTCGTATCCAAGTTAATTCCACTGAGAAAATTGTAGCGCGAAAGGGGATTTGAAAAAACTCTCATACCTTTCACATAGCCGAGTGAGTTCCGATATTTCTGCCATCAGTCAACTGGAGAATCTTAATTGAGAAAGAAGAGAAATTTATTCAGGATAATTACAATTTGCGTTCGAGGAATATGTTTGTGAATTTGAGGAGTCACTTAAAGCATGATAATCATTTTTTTATGTTGTCCTTAACGTTTTGGCAAACATTATATCACAGCATCCAAAAACTTTGGCGCCTGCATAACAGGATCGATAAATGGCTAATTAAGTACACTCACCCGAATTCCTGGGGCAGTCTAGGTGGCACATTCCTCGACTGGATCTTTGCAGGTCTTTGCAGTAGCATTTTTTATGTTACTGCTGTCGCTGTTTTGCTCAAACTCAAGCCAGAGGTGCATACATTCTGCTTGATTGCAACCTTGAACCTTCTGAGTGCAAACGAGTCTGACTGAGTTTTCTTCACAGCAGGCAGGGCGGATGAAACCTCTTTCATGTGATAAATTCTCCAGCCAGGAGAACTCAACTCACATGGAGAGAAGTGCCAATTCAAGCTGTTTACGTACTTTCTGAGCAAATGAAACCCCAGTGGAGTTGCCCCATCCGTGGCTCCTTTGAGTTGGATAGAGAACAAATTCCATAGACGGTGCACGGAATACATGCCTGGAAAAACATATTATATTGGAAGTGAGAAAAACTGTCATGAAATGAGATAGTTATACGGCCCACAAAAGTTTTTATCACTTTTCATCTAGAATTGGGACACTTAAATAACGAGAGCCACATCAGGGATAAATGTCGTATTCTTTTGTGCTTCAGTCAAGATTTCAAGACCTTTATACTCGTGGTAAACTAGGGCCGATATCAAATTTTCTTAAGTAGGCATTACTCAGTGAAAGCCTATGACCAGTGCTGTGAAAAAAACCCAAACAAAGACAACAACAACAAAAACAGACAACAGAAGGGGGAAAGTGACCATATACAGAAACTTACTTTCGAGTAATTCTTCCAATTTACCCATATGATCAGTCTTAATCCTCTGAAGCTTCCTCTGCGTCAGATGTTTCTGCATCTCCAAAATAACCCTCCTCTACTGGTTGATCTTCCACCACTTGAGTTACCACTAAAAAGTGACACGGTCGCCAAAACATTAATTTAAAAGAGAAATGTAATCGTTTGTTCCAGGATGTAATCAATTGGGATATGGATCGAGACGTTTCGACTGCATACTGCTAATGTTCTCCAAGTACTGTTGCTGGTTTCAATGCTGTAGGAAGCTTTCTACGCTATCGCGGGCTAAGATGGTAAAAGTGTCGTCTAAGTAGCGTTTCCAGATCCTGGGTATGTAGGGTGATGATGTTACTGCTTGTTCTTCAAAACTCTCCCTGTGGAGGTTAGTGATAACTGTAGAAACCGGGCTTCCAACAGCTGTGCCTTCATCTAGTTCGTAAATTGATCCATTGTACTGGAAGTAACAGATTAAAATCGACGACGAAAAAACACAACAGTAGCAGAGCCGTGCGGCAGCAGACCACAGAGGGATCCTGCCCGAAAGATGCACCAATCACAGCTGTGGAGTTCTATCCAATCACGGCTAAGCACACAACATACGGCTGACTCGGTCGACCTCAGCGCCTGAGGAAGACTAGCAGCATGCAGTCGAAACGGAGCGATCCACATCCCAGGTGACCACATCGTGAGAGAAACGATTACATTTCGCTTTTAATTATTTACCACGATGAGTGATCTCAACCTATTTTAAGATAAAAATATTCATGTTCAACAAAGAATCAATGCATCATGGTCCAAATTTGTCGAGACCAAGATTTCCTATCACGCAACTTAAGTAGATGGTTCTCCAGTTGAATTGCAATTTTTTAAGCCCCCATTTATGACAAAAGTTGAAAAAATCGACATTAGACTTACTACTACAGCTTTCTCGTAAATGTATTGAACGATAATGAGAATATGAGCCCTTTACTACATAAGGTTAACCAGGAGAAGGCACTTTCGATGGCGATCAACTTTAGAGGTACATATGTCATGATCAGATTAAACATGCCCGACAAAAGAGACCGTTTACTATTTTTTTAAGTATTTGTACATTAGTCATTAATTCAAGTCTTAAAAAAGAGAGGCAGAGTGAAGAGAGCGCTTCACTTTCCATTACGAACATACTCCTTTCCACATCAAAATAAATCGGTTTGATCATGATAGCGTTTTTTTTTTTTTCAGACTGCCAACAGACATTCTGCTGATTCAGGGAATCGCAATTGAAGCCCCTTGTAAAGAAACTAACCCAGCCATGATTTTCAAGCACTTGCGAAAATAAGAAATAATTACAAAAGAAAAGCTTGGGCGTTATTCTGACGATCCCAGGTTTCATGGTTTGACTCTACGAAACTCTCAATCTAATCATTTCTTGTCATAAAAGTTTAGAGGTCATTGCTTCAAACAAGCTGAAAATTCTTACCTAACTCTTGGTTATTTTCCTCTGCAAATTCGTCACTTTCGTAGTCAGTCACACTCCTGAGACGCTTTACAGACTCTTCGACTTCATCTAGAAAGCGTTTAGCGCGCGTAGTCTGCTCGGTTGTGGAATTTTCAAATTTTTTGTAAGTAAATATAGCCTTTGCCACATAATCACCGTTCAGTGTGGTGAAAGTAACGGTAACAGGTCCTGGCGCGTCACCACCTATTTTGTACAAGTAAATGATACAATATAACATGTGATAGATTTTCATTATTACCTGTAATATATGACTTCAGTAGTCGCGCTGAGTTCTTGAAAAAGGAAATTTGTTTTGTAGTGAGTAGTGAGTGTTCCCATATAGCTAAATACATAAAATGAAGAGCCGCAACCTGTTACGGGACTGGGCAGGAAGCCCTAAACCACTTCTGGTAAAAATATTGTACATCTCGGCAAGAATTTACACCCTCTTGTATCACTACTGAGTATACCTCAGGCTGAAAAAGAATCAGCCTACGCAGTTGAAGGTCACTCCTCAGCATAATCAGACAAAAAATGCAAGATACTTACGAGGAATTTCCTCTCCAAACATAGCCAGACCATCCCTCGTTACCCTGACTTTCTCGGACCTATTACCAAATGATGCCCAAGCTGTCGCCATTAAGGGAGGAAGCTCTTCATCTATTTCTGCACGGAAGATTCCTCCGCCCTAGTTGAAAAATGGGGAAAATAAACCCGAAATGTTAATATTCCAAATCGTACTTCCAATGCGCAAAAAAAAAATGGTTACGGAGAGCTTGGTAGGCGCTAATGTCGATTATTTCAAGTTTTAAATACAAGCATGAACCAGAAAACGCAAAAAGAAAAAAAAACTCGTGGCATCCATACATTTTACCGCGTAAAAGGATGACACATTAAATCACGCCTTTCGCAGCTTGGAGCGAAATAGTTTGGTATTTCAGTGGTGTCTCAAAAATAAAAAGAACAATGCATGGCCGCCTAAAGATAAGAAATTTCTCATCATGAGTTGAACAACATTTCTTCCGTTCGCTGCGCTCATGATCACTCGTGAGATATTTTCCTACACTCGAAATCATGCTAGTTGATACGTGATGCAGTATAATGACGGATGCTAGGATTTTGCTAGATTTCCATGGATGAATTACAGAAACTTAAACGCGAATTTTACCAATGCCAAAAAATTTAGAAAAAACTTTTAGGCAAAAGCGGAAGAAATGATAAAGTAGGTGCTTCTTTGTCGCCTCTCAGTACATTTTAATAGAAACAAGGAGGAGTTCTTTTCTAAATGGTACATCTAATATTACTTCCAATTTCCGCTCATTGCAAGTTGGATAAACAAATAACGGCAAAGGACAAATACAAAATCTGGATCTACCTGCAAAGGCCCCTCGCTGGGTTTCATTCTCGCTTCTTGAACGCGCAGAGGTTTTGGTCGGTTGAGAGTTTCAGCCTGACACGTGCTCGCTGTATAAAAATTTAAAAAAAAGCAAAACTAAACGACTGTAATCTGAGACGAATTTTAAGACGCAAAGCAAGTTTTATCCCAAATTAAATCTGCCAATTAGTCACTCTAAACCCATGTACCCCTATCGCCGAGTACATAGCTGAGCATTTACGGGGAAAATTCACGGGCGAAAGGGCCGCGGTTATCGGGGACTTCTACAGCTATTTCATGTCATTCAGGGTGCGGGGCATTAGCACCAATGCAAGCACCAGTCTAATGCTCCGCTATCTCCCGACCCCGGGGGTGCAGGGATTTATATTGACTAGTCCACTACATACTAGTAAGAATATATCGAATCTAGTCGTGACGAGTTTTACTATTTCGAGATGCTACTTCAGAAGACGATTGAGTAAGAGATGGGATGCTAGTCTTTCGCATGTTACTCACTTTACCCGGTGATCATATTTTTATGGCCTTTTTAGGTCTCTTTACCCGTAGTCAAGCGCACTTTTAACTGGACTACCACAATCCAGATCTACACCGTGTAATTTTACTTTTCCATAATTATATACGTTATATACTTTTTTATTCAAGTGAGCTGTCAATTGCAATAACGAAGAGTCTACTTCGGATTTCGATGTTCTGTCCTAGCCCAGTGTTTTATGGAAAGGTTTTTCAGTTAACTTAGTTAATTTTAGTTGTTTGTTTCATTTTCCCGTAATTACGGAAATCAAGCCTAACAAGTTTTACTCCGTCAAACTCACCTTCAGACGAAATACCGCTGTCAGATTGTCCGGAAGAATCTCTTACGTAGTTTGGTAAACGATCTTTCCCCATCAACTACAGAGCAGGGGAGAAAAACACAGACATATTTACTTTGAGCAATTATAGACGCCCGTGCACCTGCGTCGACATACAAAATAAACGACGAAGATCTTGAAATCAACTTAAAAGCAAATTTTCGAAGTCGTAAGATGACAAGCTTATGATAAATAAGTTTGTTGAGCTCTAACCTTGACTATAGACTACGAGCAGTCCCTCCTTTTCGGCGAAGTCCGTCACGCGAGTCAAAAAAAAAATCGGTGAAAATAATTGCTGTTAATGCGCAGTAAGGAACTCTTAGAACTCTCTAAAAGAGCCCCCTCGGCACGCTAACAACAGGTTTTTTTCACTGTTTTTTTTTTTTTTTTTGGCCTGCGCGATGGACTTTGCCGAAAAGGAGGGATTTCTCATAGTCTATGACTGTTACAATGCCTGCTGTGCGGCCTTAATTCGCCGTAACTTTGGGCGACTTTGGGCGATTTAAGGCGACTTAAGACGACTTTAGCGAAAGTGGCAGAAAAAACATTGCGACTTTGGGCGATTTAAGGCAACTTAAGGCAACTTAAGGTGACTTAAAGTGATTTTATTTGACTGAAGTGATAAAATCAAAGTTAGCAACAGTCTCTCCATAAACCTTAAAAATATTTACAGAATCCCTTGCAATAAACACCATAGTCAATTTGATTACTTTTGTGTGCTCATAAGTCACCATAGTCTAAAACATCCAGATTTCAAACCAATTTAGCTAAAAATGATTGGACAGAATTACCACAACAGTTGTTATTAAATCATACAGTCAAAGCTAGTGAATAAGTGAGTGGCAACACTAGACACCAAAACTGGACTAATGTGACACCGCGGAAATTCGTTTTTTGGGGCACGTACAGTATTTTACTGGTCAGCGGACACCTTGACGAAACCAGAAAATGCCGATAACTTTTACAGTGTTTTCGCCATGAGTCTAATCGACAGCGTAAAAAGGCAAAACTTAGGAAGAATACTGCAAACTTAGCTTTGAAACTCGGCTCACCTTTTGGATAGTTATTATGCTGAGTTATATAATTTGCCAAAGCCGAACTGAAGTTGCAAACGATTTGAAATTGTTGTTTTCCGCAGGCGGCTCCGTGGCAACTAAATTCTGTTTATAAAAGAGCTTTTGCACTAGGGCTAAAAATTACACGGTTTTTGAATGGCTGAGGCGGTGATCCAAGAACTTTGCATGACCGGGTTTGTAAATCAGTGGCTTGACTCATATAAATCGGCATGTCAACGGCATTTTGATCAGATCCGTCGAGAAGACAAAATATGGGTACTCGTGTAAGTAGCACGGCCATCCTATCCCCACTCGTTATTGCCGAACGTTGTATCAAGTTGGCCAAAACAGTTCTACGAATAAACCTGGAACACACTGCCGTAACATTTGTACGATTGAAGCCCCCAAAGTACAAGAACTGGCCTCAAAAAGAGAAAGATTAAACCGAGGTACGTGTCAAGTACAAAATGTCCATTTTAATGATAATAAATGAAGTTTTCACTTTCCACCTTAGTTTGTAATTTTTTTTCTGAGCAATAATTTTACTTTCCCAAAAAGTATTTGTTTCCCATCACAATTATGAATAATTTGCAGTATGTCTTTTTTTTATGCTGCTCTTCCCTCACTAATCATTTTATTTTGTTTCTTTCTTTTTTATTTTTCTTTTCTTTCTCTACTAACTTACTGCCATCTGCAACATAAAATGTACTGAGCTAACAGAAAACTTCTGGTTTATTTAGCTTCCTGATTCACAAAGTAATATTACCATCTTGGTACTACTAGAAAACAAATTTTTAAAAAAACAAAAGTACTGTAAGGTAAAATAATTATAGTAACATAATTTAATCGATTTATGAGAAGAAAGCACTGTATTGTCTTTTCTCATATTGCAACAGCCTTGAATGAATCAACTATCTTCTAAACTTGATTTCTTATAATCAGAAGCTGCCCGAGTTATAAATGAAGAACTCTTGATAGGTGTTTATGGAGGTGTAAAGAACATAATGACCATGATGATTAATCTTCCAAATCAGAAATGTCAGAGGAAAATTATCAGAAGCATTTCTGAAGTCAAAGTTGTTTGTTAAAAATGTTCAGGAGAAAATTTATTAGATTAAGTCAGTTGTCAATTCCCAGTTAACAATAAGTCATGAGGAGTAACCAAGAGCTTGTAATTAGCCACTGCTGTGCCCATCAGTCAAATAAAAATCAGGGATGGGATATTCCCAAACATGAACAATCATAGCACCATACAGATGTCCTTTTCCCAACTTATTACTGGGGAGGGGACCACTGGTATGGCTATGCTAGTTGTAGTCAATAAGAAATTCTCAACTAGTTTCAGCAATATACATATATTTTGCCACCTTGAAAAACAAATGGTTACAAGTCAAATAGAAATGTTTCATAATGATGTTGTGTGGGGATACAATGTAATATCACTGATGGGGATCATAATTATCCTTACAGTGGTTCAGAGCATGGGATGTGTATGATTCCTTAAGCACATAGAAACTATGTAAAGCAAAGCTAATCTAAAAACAATTAATGGAAGAAGAGTAGTTGATTATTTGCATAAATTAATGCAATGCACGTGCAAGATAGTGGAATATACTTCAGGTAAACAGACATGTGCCTGTAAACGTTTCGAATGACTGAGTTATAAAAAGTAATAATAAAAAAAAAGTGAGTTTCATTGAAAATGCTTCCGTGTAAAACAAATAGAGCTGTTTGGGAAATTAAAGTAGCAGTTGTAGCAACAGGTGCAAGCAAATGTACTAAAGACATGTAATAGAGATCTACAATCAATTGCTATCAATAAAGACTTAATTCAAGATAAATTGTAAATGAACCGATCATGTTGGACGGTCTCGAATATTACATATTTTCAGCGCCCTCGATCAATCACCTACATAATCTTTCTCGAGCCTTGGCGCAGCAAACAATTTTTCAATTTCTTCGATTTGCACCTCCCTTTGTAAACATCCCCATCTATGAGCTAAACAAGCGTTATTCTGTTCACGAGAGATAACTTGTTGATAAAACTGCAAGTATATGAAATGTACAAATGTTTTCATATTTTGATTACGGACACCCGTTCTTAAAGGTACATAAAATCAGAAAGGTGGAATGGCGAAAAATCAGTCTATAAAGGTAAAATTATCTTCCAAGCGAATGATTCCAAAATGAAAAGGCACCGCACGTCGACGCAAAGTGAGTGTGAATATTTTCACAACACAATAATTACGTGTATCGCTTCATGCTAAAAACACTTAAAAATCCAACCAGTATTCAGACTCGCTGGGAAAGTATCTTCCAGAACTAATCTCCTGCTTTGTCTGGATAACTATCGCTGTTTTTGACAAATCTGAATGCGAGGGCGACTGAAGAAACACGATCGCGCTTTGTAATGACGGCCAGCTAAAGTCAGCAAACAGCAAACAACTCCAAACACATGACTCCCATGTACCGCTATTTGTTAAGACGTGGTTTTAGTATTAAAAACCCATTCAAAGGATCAATTATAACAAAAAAGGAGAAGTATCATGGATATTTTCCAACTTAAAACCACGCAAAAGGCCGATGTTTTTTTCATCGAACTCAGTCTACAAACACACGTGTAGCGGCAAGCGAACATCAAGGCCGAACGAAGCGCCGAGAAAATCGCGACCGGAGAAATACGACCAAGCCAGGGGATACGTTACGGAGACTTATCTTTAATAGATCTCGTAAACTGTAGGCGAATTAAAAAAGGAAACTTATATAATCGATTGTACTCAATTGAAACACGTGGCGACTTAACAGCGTAAATAAATCTAACATAACGAAAAGAACTAGTAAATGAACTAAGTGCCACGGCAAACACAAAATATATACTTATAAAGATGAAAGAGCTTGCTCGAAACGAGATAAAGGAAAATTATGACTAGAAATAGCCGCTAGACGATACGACGGCGGTTGTGGAGGATACCTCCCAATAACACACACACAAAGCATAAAATCAGATCAAGAGAAACGCTACCTTGCATAAATCGGGCAAGCTACAGAGTGAGAACAAACGAATGCAACTTACATATCGGTCCCTATACGTCGGTGGCTTGAAACCAAAACTTAAGAAGTAACCTTAGGACGGACGCCGGACATAACAGTGAACAGTAAAGGAGCGTACGATGCAACAACTAAAGAAAGAAAAACTATCCGAAAGGCTCAAATGGCACAAAGGCCAACTGTAACTGAAATGTCACGCAAACTTCAAGTCACGCAATTAAAGTCGCGCATTTACAACATGGAAGCGCTTGGCAGCCTAAAGTTGATGACCACTGACCACTGTGACGTCACCAAAACGTATTTCCGCGGTGTCGACTAATGTCGAGTCCAGTGCACTAACCATTCAGCCACCATGCCTCCTCATCTGATCCTTATGATTAAAGTGGGGTGAATGGGGTCAATTGATATTAGGGTGGAACCCGCATGACATTGTGTAACCAATAGTGACTTAGGGAAACTTAAGGCAACTTAAGGTGACTTAAGGCGACCTAGGGCGGCATAAGGCGACTTTAGGCGACTTAAGGCAACTTTAGGCGACTTAAGGCAACTTAAGGCCCCAGAGTAGGCCTTGTTACAACTATACTCACTCTCAAAAAACATAATTGATCGATCAAAGTTCAACCAGAGAAAAACATTAAGCTTATACCCTCACTACTCAGTCAAACGAATAACATGCATTTAACCGAAGAATTACTAAAAAAGTTGGATTGATAAGACTGACTGAATCGATTGCTTCTCAAGGAGCAATGATACAACTAATAGAGTTTAATATACCTTGTTACGCTTCCTGTTTGGCTTTGTCACTCCACACCCTTGCGTTGTTCCGTGGGCGTTGAATATTCCATTCTGAGAAACGGTTTCTATATCAAATAATCAATATCATTCATTGTCACTCGGTTTGTTGCACTGTCCAAAAGGCCAATCCAAAATTCCCCCAGGTGGAATTTAGTGACACAAATAATTATCTGAACACCACTCAAAATCCTTAGGACACAAAAATTTAAAATTATATGGAAGACAACTTTAAGGGCTTTAAGGTTTTAGAAAGGAACTCTAAACGTGAAACATGAAAATTGCCAACCAACCAATGATTACAATATTTCTGGAGCTTTGACGTGTATGTTACATTTTAAATTTGTGTTAAAAAGCAGATAGTCAAGCTTCCCTGGCCCACCTTCTAACGAACTGAACGCACTGTCATCGCTTTGAAAGGCATCAGTGGAGGATGAGGGAATCTGACTTTGTAGCTAGTAAAAAAAGAAAGAGACCAGTCGTTTTTAAAAGAGCCTCAACTGTGCCAAATATGCAGGATGTTCATTTCATTGCAAATGAAAACGAGTCAAAGAGTGCATAGGACAATTTTGAAAGATATGAGCGAGGTTTTGTCCAAAGTAAGAACGTCAATAGACTCATTAACCTAATCTAGATTATAATTATCTGGATGCATCTAGATAACGCACATGTCTTTTCGCATTCACACCATTTCATTAATCACACCACTGCACCAAATAAAAGGTCGTTAAGAATAACCCTATTTAAGGTGGCTGAACACAGTTTTCGCGCGCGCTTTTTCTGATGTAATTAAGCGCGCACATGGATTGTAAAAAACAAACATGCCGTCAATAGAGCGGTCATTTTATTTACTCAACACTTACCCGCACTATCTGTGCTATTTTTCTCTATAGTTGGCGCAGTGTATTGAGGGCTTTAATCTTTTATTACAAAGATATGTTAGAAAATTTAACGGTGCAAAGAACCTAGCAATTCTCAGCTTTTTCGTCGTTACCGAAAGAAACCGGTTAAATGTAGCGCATGCGTAGTAAGTAAAAAAATTGCGATTGAATGGAAAATTGCTTTCTCGGAAATAAGCCTATTTCTTGAAAACCACACATTAGAATTTCACGAAATATGGCACAAAAATACTTTAGGAAATAAGTAACTGGAGTATTGAAAAAAAATGATCTTAAACAAAGGAAATTCTAGAAAATCGAGTGAAACAAAATGGTGTTAACTTGTGAGTATCGTTACAATCTCCTTGCATACAAATTATAAAGAAAATCTAATGACTAGATTTTCTACAAAGTAACGAAACCGATTTTAATTGCCTATTTATATCTATTCATGTCACCATGGCAAAGGCACATACGTCACCTTAACTATCGAAAAAACAAAGTTTATGATATTAACTTGCTTGCTGCCAGTTTTGGCGACCGACAGATCAAGGGTTTTAGAGAAAATGGTGAGAGAAACAAAGGTATCAAAAACTGTGTTCAGTCACCTTAATTGAACAACTTACCTCACTCTGTTCTTGATTTCCATTGATCCAAAATGAGGCCCATGGTATCGTTTCAAATGGTTCAGTATGCTCTCCAAAGTCCATAGCCTCGACGATGTTTTCCAAATCGAAGTCTTAAAAATGAATTTAAGTCGTGAGTCTATGAGGACTGCGTCTATAGTTTACGTTTTAGAACAATAACGGCTGTTACTCGGGCATCGAAGGGTGGACAATTCTTCAGCTAAATTTCTATGGCGTGGATTATATTGTCCCATTACTTAACATCATTCTCCAGCGACTAAATTTCCCAATTTAAACCCTACACTAACAAACAAGGGTTATTGATAGAGCATACCTAAACTTTAAATTCGTTAATTTTCCCATGTAATAAAAAGCAGAATTACCTGGTAAGAAGGGTACGTTCAGGTTATCATCCTAGATATAAAACAGAGAAGAAAGAAAATGGTTAGGTGCTTCAATCAACAGCATAAAAAAGCAGGAATGGTGCTTCCTTAAATTATACCACAGCAGCCACTGAAAAAAATGTTTTCCAAATATTTACAAAATTTTGCTTGAAGGACTGAACACATAAATTTTCGAACCGAGTAAATTTCTGTCTATTTCTGATTTAAAATTCATAATTTTTTTTTCCTCTAATGGAGATTGTTCCAGGCTCTATGGTCTTGCATACGAAAATAATGAATGAGTTAATGCAACCAAAGCAGTACTCTACTCATACCCAACTCAAATTTTCAATTTGCATTCAAAAATACCCGCTGAAATTTTCTTAGGTCCTCCAACAAAGAGTAACATTCAGTGAAAGTGTCTTGTTAAGAAAGATTGCTACAGAGACTAACGGGAGGGCTGGACTTTGGACTTTGGACTTTGGACTTTGAACTTTGATGGACTATTTACGCTTGTCTTCTTTCTAGGTGAAATTCCCAGTATGAAAAAAAAAATTGAACATCGTGGCAGAATTCACTCACCAGCTTATTACTGGTCGTAAAATTTCCCCATTCCCATGGATCCCATTGTTCCCATTCCACTGAATTTTCTAGGAAACGATTAATTTTCAAAGAGTTAGCACCCTTTAAACAACAGGAGACGCAAGCTCAAGAAATGCCATCTCTAAGACTAATTTTGACGTTTCACTCTAAAGCGATTATTTGATAGGAAAATGGCAACCACCTCTGTGAAACTCGGCCACAAGAAGCTAAATTTATTTGCAAATTTAGCAAAAATTAGTTCTAGCTACCACATAATTTTACGTCAGGATCAGAGAATGCATGTCTTCGCAATAAAATTTCGGCACTTTGCGAATTCCTTTGACAGGATAGTTGGGAAAAAAACACCCGATCACAGTTCTTTTTTTTTTCTATTTTTTTGCGCCTTGACATATTTCACATTCAGATGTTATTCAAATCGCGTCTTCCCTTATTGGAGGATTCTTACAGACACCGATCAACCAATTTCCATTTCATTACCCTTTTTTTTTTCTTTTTTTTTTTTTTGCGGTACCGTATGGCGAAGAATCGATCGAACATGATCATGTTTTGAAATTTTTCACTTTAAGTGTTATCATATTGGAAACAAAACCTCATTAAAAATTAACTTTAATTTTAATGAGGTTTTGTTTTCAATATGATAATGAATGATACTTTCTTAGCTTCGACAATCAAAATTTCGCAAAAAACTTTAAATGTTTGAATGTTTTAAATGAAAAGAAAATCTGAGTGTATCCATACCTTTTATGGTACCAGAGGAAATGATACAAATTGAAAAAATTAACTTGCCTGTTGGGTTTGTTGCGTTCATAAATGTCCCTGTTGTCGTGGATTGCCGTGTTTGCATCAATGACACCTTTAACAAACATGGAAAGATGAAATTAAATCTGCTCCTTTAATCAAAGAAACCAATTAGATCCCTGTAACTCAGTAGAGTTATGAATCGTGTAATCCAAGACCTAATTACAAGAGACCGAGGGCACCATTGTAACCGATATAAATGTCGTCTCTGCACTAAATGGGGTTACTGTAATTTCGCTTGTTTACAGGGAGAATTCTCTATTAAACACATATGAAAAATAAATGATAGGTTCAATGCGTGCTTTATCATTCTAAAATATCACTTACATTCCTTCCATTCTTAGAGTTGCGACAGCAGCTGGCCATGGTGGACGACGAATAACCTTAAATGAAAATATATTTATGCTTTACATGTAAACTTCAGGTTCGACACGAGGAGTTTTGTAACAACTAGAGAAAGTATAAAAATTATTGAAAAAATTCGTGCTCGAGTACCTTGTAAAGATAAAGGAGGTCCTCCTGCTGCAGGTAACACCAGGTTTGAGACCGGCTGATTTTGAATTATGAAAAAGTTATTGAAAATTAATTACTTTAATAATTTAAAACCAGTTGTTTTTGGCTTTTAAATATCCATCTAAATGTAATACATTTTAGCACAATAAATTTGCTTCAAGCATGTTCCAGTTTGTCGCAAATTTTATTTGTATTTACGAATTTTATTGCCGGTGACAAGTCATCTTAGACTTTTCGTAGGCTTTGTGTGGGAATGCATTGATGGTAGAGATAGGGTTACTTTTTCCAGCAGGATAATCTTTTTGACCTGTGCAAGGCGCGCCATGCTGGCTTAAAATCTTCAATCAAAAACTTTCCTAATCCAAAGAGACCAGCTAGCAATACTCAAGGTCACTTTTAAAACAAACAAACAGCGTATGTCACCTCCAGTCGTCTACATTGCTTTTTTAAGTGAAATTTGCAGAAAAATAACAATATCCAGACTAAGTCATAAGAGCAGAATTGATTGCACAATTTCCCAGAAGATGACTAATACGTACCTTGAGTTGAGGTTCGGATGAGCATTTGAGGTGAGATGCTGGATTATCTTGGTTGTTCAAGAAACTGTAATCCACTGAATTTCCTTCAAGAAAATTAAATTTGATTTAAATGTTCATACGAGTTAGTAATGGTATAACCAAAAGGTGAGATAACTTTTGGAAAAATGTCGTTTATGTCAACTTTTGACCGTTTATGTTCACACGGAATAAATCTTACCTGTTAATTCATTAGAATCTAAAGAAGAAGTTTTTGAATCCACTCCTGCAACGAGAGGCTGGGCCACAAAACCCTTTTAAAGAAAAAAGGGAGGAAGGTTAGGAATTTGTTTATACAAAAAATTACGTTTTTACGCGTTCGATTACTAAAAGGAAGACTAGTTTAAGTAGAATCCACTCCAATTTTTCCATGGAATTAATATATAATTTTCAGCCTCTTCTATGCCTCACTTTTTCAGAGCAAATGTTGATTTCAATCCAAAATGCCAAGCACAACTTTAAATAGGAATCATTTTTTAATCATTCGCAGGGAATAAAAGGAACCTTTTATTGTAAAAAATCTCTTACTTGTCGATTGTGTCCACTATTGGAGAAACATTTATTCCATGGATGACCTGAAATTAAATCTCATTTGTAGGGAAAAGAGAACTTTTGTTATTGGGATATGTCTTACCGGTTGATTATCTCCACTGTTGTAGAGATCCTCATCCCATAAAAAACCTGAAATTAAATACGTTACGTATGAAACATTGTCTTACGGTACCGTGTGGCGAATAACTAAACAAACATCATCGTCTCTTGTAATTTTTTTCCAATCAATCTTTGTTTTAAATGGGAGGAAAATCAGTGGATTCATTAATTCCTTTCATGGTACCAGAGAAACTGATACAAATTGAAAAAATTAACTTGCCTGTTGGGTTTCTTGTGTTTATAGATGTGACCGTTGTCACAGATTGCTGTGTTTGGCTCAATGACACCTTTAACAAAAAGGGAAAGATTACATTAAATGTACTCCTTTAATCAAAGAAACCAATTAGATTATCTCAGTGGTGTTATGAATGTTGTAATTCAAGTTCAAATTTTAAGAAACTGGTAACAAGCATCATTGTAACCGATATAAATGGCGTCTTTGCTCTAAATGGGAATACTGTAATTTTGCCTATTTACAAGGAGAGATCTTCAGTCAACACATGTGAAAAAATAAATGATAGGTTCATTGCGTGCGTTATCTTTAAACTATCACTTACAATCTGGCCATTTTTGGAGTTCTGAAAGAAGCTGGTGGACGACGAATGACCTTAAATAAAACATGTAAGCTTCAGGTTTGACACAAGGAGTTCAGTAACAACCAGAGAAGACATAAAAATTTTAAAGAAAACTGTACCTTGTAAAGATGAGGGAGGTCCTGCTGTTGATGAAACCAGGTTTAGGACCGGCTAATTTTGAAATATGAAAAAAATGTTGTTAATGAGTTCATTTCTATTCAAATCCAGTTGGACTTGTACTCTAGCATGTAATCCAACTTTTCGTAAAGTTTTGGAAATTGCGCCAGAACATTTTACTAATGGTCTTTGCGATTTATTTTGTCACACCAATCACCAATTTTTCATTTAAAAAATCTATTCTGTATCATCTAGCATTAGGTCTCGATTAAGAAAACTGTGGATGTTCCCACATTTTACGAATTGCTTAGGTCAGAGTGCCATACCAGGAAGTAACGAAAGCGAAAGGTCACTAATTCCGAGGTGATAAGCTTCAAAATCATGCATTCGTATGTTTTATATATATATTTATGGATATATCTTGTGTACCTTGTCCTCCATGACTAAATACAACGCCGATTGGCCTTTTATGTATCTTTTAATCATTCGTCCATCCCAAACACGGTGTTCACCATGAAAATTTAATAAATCACTGGTCTGTCCTTCTCGTGATGCACACGAAAACCTAAATAATAATGAGAAGAAAAAGTATTCCCATAAGGGATTCTTTAAATTTCGCAGTTCCGTTCTCTATAAATCAAAGCCATGAGAGTCATGCAGCGCTGGTTTTACAATCTATTAATGAATGCAAGTGGTTTCTAAGAAACGTCAAGTACTTACTTCACTTACCTTTTATTTGACAAGATAGGGCGAAACAAGTTTTCAAACAAGCCTCTTACATCACCATCTGTCATGTCTTGACGAAATGTCACACGACGCTTGTACCGTTCTCCTTTCCTCAATCCTGCTATTTCTGATAGGGTCAATGTCCTCGTTTCATCTTCGGTGAGAAGATAAACATTTTTTTGGAATCCTTCCATACCTAAAAAAAGAAGAGTTAGATGAGATGTTGTACAAACTCTTCAATTTTCTTTTCTCAATTAGAGTAATGAAATACACCTAATCAAACAAAGAAGACTAAATACAACTCTTAAACATGCCTCAGATTTAAAGGCATATCTTCTTCCAAAGATTTTATAAATATGTCAGCCTGGACATATTACAGCCTCAATGTATCGCGCGAGTTGTTTTGTTCCATGAATAATGAAACTGCTTCGGTGTTGACTCAAGGATATTAGGACGTAGGAATGAGTAATGCGAAATTGCCATCAAACTGATGATGTTTTTACAGTAGTAGTATAAATGATGCTTGTATTGCAAAGTGAGCGAATCTAAAATAAAGGGTATCAATTTCGTCATTCCCAATACTAATCCACCAGTTAGCTTGATTTTTTTTTAGCTTCAGAAGCCCAATTGTGTTTCTTGGAATCACAGAGTCATTGGCTTTTAGTTCAATCACTGTTTATTCTTATTCTATTTTGCATATTATATCCACGAACGAGTTCACCACAGTGTCACTTCTCCCTTCACTATATCATATCGCTACTTTCAACCGACTCTTTTCAGCCAATTTTAAACTAGCAACAGATCTACTATCAACTATAAGCTAAGAATATGGTTCGACAATTCTTTGATGAATCACTAGAACTTATGGAAAGTAACAAGTGTGAAAGACCTTTAGTGTCACTGATCGAGATGAATGTAAATTTGTTGGTATGCTTTCCAAAGACACGAGCAGGGCATTCGATTCCCTACATTACCCTCTCATTCAGCTAAATTAAAGGCTTATAATTTCACAAAACTAGTACAAAACTCCTTATTTCAACCTTTAGAGACTGTTTCAAATAGGATCAAACCGAGCAGAGAAGAGAGATCCTTAGAGAGGATGTCCGGGAAATTTCCTCTGGGATCTGCATTTAGGCCATTATTATGCATTTTAACCCACCCATTAATTTTGTCGCGATTTTTTTGGTTACTTTACGTCAAGTGATTCAAATCACAGGACAGTTATCACATAATAACCCCCGTCCGCGTCGATATTTGTCCTCCGATTTTTTCCGTGAAAAAGAAACATAGTCAATACAAGATTTTAACTTTTCCGTTCTCCTATTTACATGGAAGGAAACCAAACTCGTTTTTTTGAGTCTAGCGAAAGTGGCATTGATAAACATTTCTTTCTAGTCAAGTTTTTGAAAAGCACGTCGGGAAATGTGAACCAAAAGCGCCAAGTTTTCGAGTTAACTTCAGTGGCGTTCTGAGAGTTAATTTCAAATGACAGCTTGTCAAGTTTTGGTCCAATCACACTGAAAATAAAGTTATATAAACCAATCAAATGTACTTGCTTTCTTGCTTGCGTCCATCACGCGCATTCGCCATCAGATCACTACTGGCTTTGTTACTGTGTTTACGCGCAGTTTAATTGCGATGTGAAAATTAATGGGGTTATGAAATAAATAAACCTCGTTCTGGCTTGCTGGTATGTCGGCTGATAATGTCCTTCGCTGAGAGATTGTCCTCAAAATTTCATATTTGCCCTCGAAACTTCGCTTCTCGGCCAAATATTCATTTTTTGGACAATTTCTCAGCTGCGGACATTATCAGCCGACATAACAGCCGCCCGAAGGGGTTTATTTACTAAATATTTCCAGAATAATTTAACTTATGATACGAAGACATACCTTTTACATCAAAATATGTATGCAGCTGATCATCAACTCTATAATACGTGCGGAAATGTAGTAGATGTGCAAGCTGGCAGTATGTGGAGAACTTACTTAAAGGGAACTATGATAAGTGCAGGACCTGAAAAAAACATTCGATTTTCTAATTGAAAGTTATCTTATAGTGTCCCCATTTCGCGTTTTTTTTAATGTTGTTTTGATAAAGAGATAAAAACTATTAATTTTATCACTATTGTCATTAATTTGATTACCATAATCATTATCAACAGCACCTAAACTGACTTGAGACACAAACTGACTTGTTCTGAGCCCAGCTAAGTTGTTTTGTTCTGAGCAGTGAAAGGTAATTACTACGTTTCCCCTATATTCAGCCTATTTCAGTCGTAAAACTCGATCAAATTTTTTTTCCGTTACGATGTTGCTGTGGCGCTGTCAGTTTTCTGACCTTGCTATATCACGGCTCGATGGACATATAAGTATAATCATATTTCACTTATTTTGGATCTTCACGGATTCCATTCTGTTTCATTCTACGCCTATAAAATCTGTTTCCGATTTCTGATGGCAACTCGTCGAGAACAATAACCTTGCAAAATTTATCAAAGCGCTTCGAATAGTAGATCAGTTCGTCTATAAGTGCAATTAAAATAACGACTTTTTGAGGGGTAACTGAGTTTAGCATCGAATGTTGGTCGGTTTTTAGTTTTCGAAACGAATATCCTGTCAACAGACCACAGAATGACCGAACAATCGCTATGCTTCGCAACGTCTCCGCAACGTTGAAATATGGCCGCCATTGTAGCTCAGGCCTCTGGCAGATGTCGTCTTCCCACATGTTAAAATATAGCCGCTGCAAAGCGAAAGGTGAAAGGCCCCCTTGCAGTTTGGGCCTATTTACGATGGATGTTTATTGTAAGCGGAAGTGCAAAATGCTCTCTACATAACAATCTCGCCACTAAAACAAGTCGAATTTTTCTCTCACCTGAGAAATTTACACCTCTGGCATTTCCAGAGTAGTCATAAAAGGGTAAAGGACTTCTTTATTTCCGATCCTGAGCGACTCGATTAGTCATGACTAAATGCCACGAGGTGATTTTGCACGGAAAAATACATGGCATTATCACATGACCATCATAATGATGATCGACATATCAAAACATATCACTGAGACTGATTTTACTTGACGAAAATAGCATTGAATGATCATGTGACCATATTATTTGTCTCGGTCTCCTTGACAATTAATACTTTTCGAAGCCCACAGGAAGTCGTGTATTTATTTAAGAATCCTGTTCTGTGACCTCCTCAATCTTTCTTACTCCTTTCCTCTTTTCTTTTTTACAATCACTTTACGATATTAACAAGACACAAGAATTCAAAGACAAGACTAAATATCGCGTGTTTAAAAACTATGACATATCAGGGGAGGCCGCGAGCCATCCAGCATTCACTATCAAATAAAGCAGTCAGCATTCGCCGTCTACAACAGCAGATCGGCAACTTGTTACCGAAAAATGGAACTTAAAAAGTATGCCCATGTACTTGAAGACAATTTACAATTAAAAGCCTAAGTCCTCGGGTTTTTCCCCCGAAACTATCACGATTTTAAGATTTCCAGTCAGCGGTAATTCTTTCTGCAGGTATGTTTGATATTTTAGACCTTCGAGACTGCTGCCATGAATCACTTTGAAGGCGGTCGAGATCCCTCTTAAATTTCAGTGTCATGAGTGTTTTAAGAAAAATTTAATTGTTAAGGCTAAATTTCGCATAAGTTTAAAGCTTAGCGTGAAACCAAATAACATCAAGATGAGCGAAGAACACTCAAGACCAGCGGATGAAGGCAACAACCATTTGAAATCTGATAAGATGCTCGTTGGAACGGAAGAACATGCTTGATTGAATTGGAAAGGTGACGTTTCCTTTCAAACCTTCGACGAACCATCGCACGTTTGCAAAGTTTTCGTTTAAGTAAACCGTAAACCTATTCATTGGGGAAAGAAATGTTACAAGCACATTTATGTGAAGGAAAGACCGGAGTTGCTCGTTTTTCTGGTGTTATATGTCTAGGTTTACTTCATCTGGTCTAGTCTAATGCAGAGTTCTATGCGAGCGAACCAGCACAAATTCAGTGGTCTTCTGTTAGAGCACGAGCAAAACTTTCGATTGAAACACAGGGGATACGGGATCGAATTGAACCTAAATTTGAATGATGAACTATTGAAAGCTCTCCCTAAACTCTAAGGAGAAAACATTTTCGCCTTTATAAGACTCTCCGCTTACCTGAATGTAGCCAGTTGGGTCGGTAAGATAACTTGAGTTAAGAATCCAGTCATTCGGCAGCGCTAAAAATGAAAGCTGAAAGCTTACACTCCACATTGTTAATTCAACGAATTCCTTGAGTGACTTGAGTCTTAGATTACGAGGATGGTCATGTGACAATACACTTTCTCAATCAAACCTCCACGCCGGTGGTTGGTAACCCGACACGACATGATAGTAGGAAGCGAAACCATTTCGACCATTGCCACATTTATTTTTTGGAATTAGAATTCTAGATGTCGTCCCAGTAGACTTCTGAACTGATTTTACTAAAGGTTTCTTTTCTTAAACCTAAAGCTGTACACACATGTCAATGTTAAACGTTCTCTTCTTAATCTAAAACATTAAAGGTCATTTGTCGCGTTTTTTCTAGTTGTCATCAAAGCTAACGAAATAAACCAAACACAGAATTATTCTGCGATCCGCACGCTTTTTTTATACTCTGTTTACCCCTGCTGAAATGAAAGTAGTCGCAGTTGTATATCGCATTATTTTGATATGAAAGGAATATAGATTTCCCTTTTTGAGGGGATAAAAACTTATATCTATTTTTTTGGCATTGTAAAGAATCTTTGCGAGATCGAAATAGAACGTCGACTATTGTTATGATTATTTGCTCTTTAAGAAAGAAATTGACTGGTCGAGGCCCTTATAAAACTTGCTTTAAGCTCTGATAAATCAATTGCTCGAGAATGGGTAAAACAAATTATGTGCAATTTTCCAGATCTACTTTTTTGAGAAATTCATCACATCTGGAAAAAAAGATATTTCCAGCTGCACAATTACGGACTACAAATTATCATTTATCGTTCGAATGACTTTTGCTTATTCTGATGCTGATAAAATTCAAAATTCTCCTTTGAAATAATAAGCACGCCTTTTGACAAACGGGAAGGAAGAAAGCAAGAGAAAAGATCACAAACTAACCCGGAAAACCGTGACTTCTTTGTTTTGACCAAATCAAATAAGGCGGAGCAATCACCTAAAGGCGAAAAATCACCACCGAAGACAGGACATCGAGGAACGCAACCGCAAACAACAAATGGGGAACTGGCTGCATGCAAGCGAGGCACGCGTGCACGTGAGGTTTGGTTAGGCTTCTATCCTGCCATCAAAGCCAATATGAGAGACGAGGTAGCCTAAAGATCATAGTTCAAAAAAGCTCTTACAGCGGCCCATTTTTAGAAAAACCCTGTAATGTTACGGGCCCCAAAAAGTTGATTTTTGTCAGTCCTGTTTCATTTAAGGACGAGATATTGACAGTTTTGAGAATAGAATAATTAAAAATCAGAAAACGAATCAGAACGATTTAATTAATAATTATTCGATCTAAGAGATAAACATTTGTAATTCGAAATCAAAAAAGCGCAAATTAAGTCTTAATCTCGTAGTAGAATTCAAGAAAAATGTGATTGGAAGCTTACTTCTGTGGCGGGTCGTAAAAAACAGGTTTCTCTCTTCAGGTTAACAGATTCAGGTAAGCGAACAGATTATAAAAACCGATTCCTCTCTTATTGATTCTTCTGAAAAACTGGTTTAAAACATGATAAGCTGACACTTTTAAATTATTGTACGGAATTAATTTCAAACACGAGTCCTGTAATTAAAATATATCTGTCATCAAAGGCAACACCTATTTACAAAACGAAACAACAATCAGTGTCTATCTCATGTCTGTGGAGTACAATAACATCTCAACTGAACTGTTGAACAAATATTTTTCTTTTCATTCCATATAACAACGAGAAACAAAGTAATAACCCTAACCATAATGAGTCATAACATTTATGATCTGAAATACGTGATCATTACTTGGCGAAATCTTAACTTTATTTACTCATAGCGACAATAATTAAATGACAAGTATAAATCAATTTGATAGTCAGAGCTATTAATGCGGAAAATTTTTAACATGATTTATTGATAACAATCAGACCTCACTTAGCTGGGAGAACACTCCCAAAGGCCTCCAAATGAAACTTCAAAGTTCCATATCAATTTTGCATTGCAATCATCAAAAATGTCCAGCAAAACATTTTTTCTTACTACAAAAACTAGAATTAACTTAGTCGCAAGAATACGATCATTGGCCTCCATAAGTTACGTGAAAATTCCGTGTTAATTTTTTGTTTTCAATCAGCACTGCTACTGTAGCCCAGGCAGTTGTATTGATTAAAGAATAGTTGAGAGTCCTGTTTTTCCTGATTTTTTTTTCCTAATTTTCCGCTATCATTGACTATTGTTATAAAATTATATCAATCCACTACATGTAACACACGCCCAACAAGCTTTGATGTGTATCAGTTGTGCAGTGTTTCAGGTACAATTACATGATTAGTAATTTGGAGCAAGATGTTTTTCTTATTTTATAATACTTCTCCTGTACAAATTTGTATTTATATTAATAACAATCGTGATGACACCTTTAAGAATTCCACCAGTTGTTTCTTCTGTGTCAAACAATTGATAATAATAACTAATCATGTACCAATAATAGAATAAAACAGTCTGTGTCAAGCGTGACCCATTTGATTTATCTATATATTGTCTCTTACAATAATGTTGAACCATGGATTGCAATTATAAGAATACTACAAAAAATCAGCGACAAAACAACACACTTTCACTAAATTCTCCCCTTTATATCATAAAAGGGAAAAATTTGTATCTCATTTCCTTTAAGGCTCCTTGCAGACTTTGCATTCATAACCACTAAATAAGAAACACAGTAAAAACTACCCTATTTGGCAAAGATGATAGTCTCAGTTTTTCTTCTTTCAAGTAAGTACATGCTCAGAGTCTTAGAGGGCTTTCAGTATCTAAACATGGAACATGCTTTACGTTGGGCATAAAAAGTGTATATAGTTTCGTTAGAATCATGCATTACGTAATGTGACCTGCAACTCTTTACTTAGGACTTTCATCGGGAGTCAAGAATCCTCCAGAGCCTTTTTAGAAAAAGATACGAGACTGTACATATTCTCATTACTCTTCCCCTTACTTCTGAAACGACTCCGCGTATTAGTCCATTTGAGCTGCAAGAGGAAATTGAAAATTATTACCTATTACAGGGCACTCCTGTCCAACTAGGCTTTACGCACACTCAAAAGTGCAATCCTGCAAGGCATCCGCCCCCTTCCCTTAAACAGCCTCCTGAAGATGGGGCTTTCTAAGAATATTCGTTACTTCAATCGTTTTCTAGATGGAGGGAGTCATCTGGCATAAAAGTGTTTTAATCATAAGGAAAAGGAAAAAGGGCAATGGTAATTTGGCCTCTTTGAAAGGCGTTCAAAGTAAAAACTAAGTATCATAATATTCATCAAAAACTGGTCCAAACCTCGACAGTTTTATTCGGCAACGTCGCTTCCGAATGTGTTCTTTGCATCTGAAAAAAAAAATGCGAAATTATTTAAAGTATACCACAAGGTTATTCATTGAAAACTTAAATTTCGCGGAATCTTTTTCTGTAAATCTGTCTAGCTGTCGTGTCTTCTTTGAGTCTCTCTCCGTTCACCACAGTTTACTTCACAGCCTAACCAACACACAATTTCCCTCCGGAGAAACGGTGGCCATGAAGGTATAAAAATACGTTATAGAGAAGGAAACACTGGGCTGATATATAAACCGCCGGAAACCTAAAGATGTTGGATCAATATTTGTTAGCTTCACGTTCTCTTAAATTTACCTGCGCTGGAATAGATGGCTCTGTGTTTCGTCTCTCCGGTGTTGCATATTGAGATATCCTCAGTTTTTCCTCTGTCTGCAATCAAAATAAAAATATTAATAAAAGCAGCGGGACACAACAATCAGTTTCTTTTCCTCATTTAAATCTAAATAAGTGAAAGCTGATGGTGTGACTCCTAACTCGCTCACCCAAGGAGATACAACTCGTCCATATGGCTGAAAAGAACGTTTCACCTCCTAAAAGCATATGGTATATCAACATTACAATTCCAGTAGAATGTCTCATTATACCATTGGAAAACTAGTTTTGAGATTATCTTCTCCAATGACGCAATCCTGGAGCGCTATTAGAATTTTCCTAAAGTAGTTCCGCACATAAATGTGATGGTAACATTGCGCTGTAATGATCTTGCTTGCTACGGATCGCTTTTCATTTCAAAGCTGAATAGACCTTGTGCAAGGGGCACTACCATAAGAATAACGCCTACCGGCAAGCGTAGCAGCGCCCGCACTTCTTCCAATCGCTCAACCTGTTTTTCTCTTTCTCTTTGGTCTGCGAGCAAAGTTTGAAGCTTTTCGTTCTCTTCTTTCGTCATGTTTGTGTCTCCTGATTGTAAGTCCGCAACACGTGCGTTTAGATCTTTGTGCACGGCTTTTAAGTTATGAAAGGTGAAGTCATAAAATTGTTTCCTCACAATTTCGTCGCATGTGCAAGCTTGCTTTGTCATGCCTGTTACTTTCGAATACAGTTCCACGAGATTTCTACCTTGAGTACCGATGATATCCAACTTTTTTTGGACGGTGAAGGTTTCTTCTTTCAGTTCGTGCATTTCCAAACTGGAAGTTATGTTTGACAGAATCATTTGCAGAATTTCCAACTTCTCGGAGATTTGGTTTACTTTGAGGGTAAGATGTGAATATTCAGCTGTGCTGCTAGTTTCTGTTTCTTTTAATTTGGCGTATTTCCTGTAATCTGGCCGATAGCATTAATGTAGTCTTTGATTTCCTGGATTGACAGTTGAAATTCGTAGAAATTCAAGTTAAGATGCATACTATGCATAATATTTTGATAACTAAATAGATTCACAAACATGGAATATTTTACAAAAGGCTTATCCTCGTATTTGTCCTCGAAAATTGATAGTTTTTAAGAATAAATGATGAAAATTTTTTTCTGATTGTAATCAGTAATGGCATCTTTAAGTCTCCTTAAAATTGCTCCTTTTCGCAACCTGAAGCAAATTAAAATTTTCAGATTAAAAGGTAAAGACGAATGGTACATTTAAACTTATGAAATATCAGTTGTGCAGTTTTGGTCTCAATAAATGTAAACGAAATCTTTCTTAGACAGATCTGGAGCGAAGTAATTATCTGCCCATTTGGCTGCCTTATTAGTCCAATTCCATGAGCTATCATGAAACTTTTTCCTAATAATTGATATTTACCTTCAAAGACGTATTGAATTCTTTTCTCTTAGTCTCCCACACGAAGAACGTTGACGTTTCAGTTCTGTCGTAGCCCAATATGATCTAATTCAGTTAAGAAAAAAAAACATAAATAAAGACGAAATAGGACTGGTCACCGTGGAAAAGATTATAGCGCGCAGCAATGTTAATCACACCTTCAATTGTTATACAGATGTTAATAAAGTCAATCAACTCTCCGCTAACGGAAATCTCGTAAGTGGACAGTTCTATTTACGGTCACTTTTCCACTTCCCCTTTTTAATTTGCTTCTCTTTTAAACTCTGTATTTACACATTCCCTTTAGCGGACGCTCTTTCGTAAGTGGACAAGGTCAATTAAAAAAGGGAAAATTGTAATTTTCTTTTGTTTACGCTCCCTGGTAAGTGGACGCCCCAGGAATAATAATTGTCGCTTAGCAGTAAGATTTTTCTTGAAGTGGCAAAAAAATATATACGACCTTTGGCAGAGCAACAGAACAGTGGGGATCGGTTTTGTCTAATCTCCACTTGTGTGCGGGAAGGTGCCCGTCCTTTGACATTAACAAGACTCCGACATAACAGCCCCCGTAAGCGGAAATCCTCCCTATTTTCCTTTGAAGTCCACCCATGGCATCACTTTTTCTAAGCGGACAGTTCTACTAACAGACACTTTTTCTAATTCCGGAGGGCGTCCGCTTACGAAAGAAATGACTGTACCAGTATTCCTTCCACTTCTATATGAACAACAGCCTCTGTCTGACGCGAAAAATGCTCGCATATTTGTTCTCGGACATTATCTGTTCCGAGAAGCGAACAGCTTTGCGAGAGGGAAGCTCAAGGAAAACTTTGAGCTTAGAGGAAAAGGTATTGTCTAATGACAAAATAATATACGAGGATGTTTTAGCGCCAAATGGAAGATAAAATATTCATAACTCTTCAAATTTTTTTGAAACGCGCCGGCAAAAATATTCACAAACAGCTAACCGTTTACTGTGTGGGATGCTTATGGACATTTCAGAGTTCTTTAGTACGGCATTATAAAAAGAAACCAAATTTGTCCCTTCTACTATCACATCAGCTAAACTTTATCTCGTCTTAGATTAAATTGCAGGTGGAGACTTTTATCTTACTGCACTGGAGGTTGGGTTCAAAATTTATGGAGTATCAGTTAGTATTCTTTTATATCACCTATGAATATTCCAAATTCATATACGAACCTGGTTTTCATCGTCTACCTTAATCGTTCCTCCAACCTCAAAGGTGAGTGTTCTTCTATCATTGACAGGAGCTGAAAAACATTTTTTTCGCAGATTTAGCACCTCTAACTGACGACAAATATGTAAATGAATAATTATGATGGTTTTCTGTATGTTTGAACACTAAGCAGTCGAAAAGACTAGTCTGGCAATCCGGGCAGAATCAATAACTACATATTTCTGGCGTGTGCAACACTTTCTACAGTACCTTCCATCGAGCAAACCGCCTCCCGGTTAGCTCAATGGATAGAGCACTGGACTGTTGTGAGGGAGGTCGAGGGTTCGAGCCCCGGCCGGACCAACACTCAAGGTCTTAAAATAATTGAGAAGAATATGCTGCCTTTCTATAACATCAAGAAATGGTTAGATATTCTGGTCTTCTCGGATAGGGACGAATAAATGGAGGTCCCGTCTCCTGCAGGGTTAGGGGTAGGAGACGTTAATTTTCCACGCACGAGATTACTATGTGATGGATGTCCTCCCCTGGGGTGGGATGGGTGGTTAACAGGACCCCCGTTGATACCAGTGTTTACTACTCTGAAGGGGCTATCCTGCATAAATATAGATGTCCACTAGTAAATAAGTACGAAAAAATCACTCCACATTTTCTTTCCTCTTCACGAACTCAAATTTCAAGGAACAAAAACCCAGATCTGTGTAGAGAGGTTTTACAAACTGTCGTCATCAATTTCTGGGAGGGATTGTAAAAATTAATAATTAGCACTTAACAAGAGATTATTAGGTGCAGTAAATGAATCTTTTTCACGTACCCTTTAATTTATCTGCCACGCTCTTTAGTTCTATTTTGATTAATGCATCTGCAAGCTTTCCAACAGTGGCCTCTCGTCCTTTTCGATGGATCCATTTTACGAGGACAGCGATACAACATTCCTTGGGGCAACTGATCTTTTCAGCTTGGATTGCGTCAATGTCATTTTGGCTGAAGTCTAGCATTCGAGCCAAGTCTCTCCACTTTTCCGGCCCTATCAACTTGGGCAGCTGGTATTCATGAATAATGCTCTCTGTCATTCCAACATTCGGGTCGAGCGTGTTATTGTTCATGGAGCAATCTGATGGTTTTTTCAATGAACTTGTGTTAGAGCTTTAAAAAGCATGTTGCTTTTGGCTGAAGTTTTTTATACACTAGAAGAGATAGTAGTACTGAGAAGTACTTTTATAATAACGGCTTTGGTAACAAATGACAACTTTCCTAATTTAATGTTTATGTCATTGTTTTGGCTTGTCACTTAACACAAGAGGAAGTTCTTATGTGGTAAGAGCAAACAAAGGCTCCCAAGGAGCCTATGTGACATAAATTTTATCTGCATTTTACTTTAGCATTTTCTACTTTAAGCAGTAATTGGTTTTCGCTTGAAATTTGGGAATTGTGAGAATTCCCTCCTTCTACTACTTGATGACGCATGACGTCAATTCAAAAACATATTTGGGTTTCATAAGAAATATGACCAAATATAGAAGTTCCAAAGGGCTAAAGAACGTGGATATCTTATTCTTTAATGATCTGGAGCATTGATGATCAGCTCGTGATATGGTAATCAATATGCTTTCACCTCATAGTGACTTTTCCGTCTATATATGGCACGACGCGTCAAACCGAAACTACCTAAGGAAAGGTATGATTCAAATGACCATCCATCGCTAGTCTCACCAAATATAACTATGGACTCGAGGATGAGATAGTTTCAGAGTCATAGTCGTTAGGGACGGAAACTCCACTTCTAAAAATCGGCTTTGGATTTGTTCCTCCGACCTTACGACGACCTGAAACGTTTACTTCAGAAGCAGCCATGCTTCCAGGAGGTGGAATGACTTAAGAGGCTTCAAAGACGAACCACCATTCGAACTACCGTGATTTAAATTGCGATTTTTAAATCATCTTTAAGTTACTTAGAGAGAGTTCAATGTCTTTAATGTCTTGATCGTCATGTCATCGCGGTTAGGAAAATATAATTGTCTTGTTTACGACAGACAAATATATAAAATCTGTTATAATAATATGTCACGTCAAGGTTGCCTGCGGTACCATTTCTGAGGTTGAAAATCATAAATTCACTGTGACTTCGATCAACATAGCTAAAAAATTTTCTTAACGTTCGTAAGTACTTTAAGAAGCAAAAAATACAACACACTGCAATGATACCTTGCACATTGTCTTTACAGAAGCGAATCAGATAAAAAATAACTGGTCTGTAATCAAAATGTAGTGTAAAGAACAGAGCGAAAGGAATTCGCATTGGTGTTAGAGGATATGTAGCAGTGTTTTACGAAGCAACACAGAGCATAGAGACATAAACATAACAAAATATTTCGTTTCCACACGGTAACCCCTTCTAGGAAATTTATTTACCCGGAAGTAACAGTTTATTCATGACGAGGAACTCGCAAATAAGTAATGACTGAAGGTAAAGTTACTAACCCATTTCTGAAGACTTAATTTTCTTGGATTACACCGATGGATCTTCTTGTGCCAAGGTTAATGCTGTCTTTATGCGTTCAAATCGTGGTAACGTCGAACAAGTAAATACTCGGCGACGATATTCTTTATGGTATCGAAGGCTAACATAAAAATTTTGAGGTAGACCCCGTAGCCGTGGTTCATAGCTTTGTTGGACATCCGTTTAACTGTGTGCAAAGAATACGACAAGAGTCGATAAATATTCAGAAAACTTAGTGGTAAAGAAAGCTGACCTTTTCTTCGGTTTTTTGTCACTTAAACTAATTGCTGTTCTGTTTAGTTGTCGCTCGTTGGTGAAATCAAATGGCGGAATTCTGGGTACAAACCTCAGTTGCAAATTCTGCAAATGGCCCTTTATCGGGTAAACAGCAACTAAGTTCTTCTCCTGGGAAGGAGGCAAGACTAAATATTGCAACTGACAAGTTGTGCTCAGTTTTAATGATTCAAGCCCATTTAAGACCGCTGCCCTGTAAATCTTTTGTTCGTTTGGGGTAACACCGGCTCAGAATGCAGTCGTGCATGAAACGCACATGCCTCCAATGCTGCCAGTGTATTTTTCACATGCGTCTTCTCTCAAAGTGTTCCATCAGTTTTATAAAATCCCTCCACATGAAAATCGTAAACGAAGCACGTGATAGAATGAACTCCCGAGTCATGAAGTCAGAACGTGAACAGCGTTTGAAGAAAGATTTTCCCATTGTGCGACAGAACTTAAGATATCCATGAAGGATTTTTGATAAACTTAGGTATATATCGAAAGGGGAATCCACTGGTTGTCTTTAAAGATGACAGCTTTGTAGAATAGAAGTGAATATGATAAGGCTAGGTATAATTGTCGACCCAATTTAGAGAACACTCTCCTGTTATGACGACTACAATTGCATTATTCAGCAAATTTCAGCGTTGCCTATACATGGTATTATTATTCAACTACACTCAGTATACGGAGTACAAATAACGCCATAGACGAGTACAAACATCACGAGGTATTTGTACTCCAGAGAACTAGTTAGACAAGTTTTCTCGCAGAGCGCAAGCAAAGAACTGGATCGAAGTTACGAAAAAAAAAATTGCGGACAATTTGAGTCATATTTCTGACGACGAAGAGTCGGAATGGCTGGGAAACATAGATCCAAGTTTACTAGATGAATCGAACGAAGAAATACAGTTAGACAACCAGGAGATTTCTTCATTTATTGAAAAAATAGAAAAAGCAACACGACAACGCGCCAATTCCATATCGCTTCGCATACTTCTGTAACGCACTCCTCGTAAATAAATATCCGCGAAATTCGCCCGCACTGAAATAACAATTTGGCGAGTTGGATTATAAATAACTAGTCAGTAAATGACTCGTTATTTGTATTTTGACTTGCCCTACGGACTCGTCAAAATACGACACAACTCGTAAAAATACTCAGCGATACTACACAACAAGACGTCTGATAAGATATATTTATTATTGAGTACGTAATGTGAACCCTTTAAATCCAGAGTGTTATACGGGTCGCATCGATTTCGCTTCATCAGTATCGAGTTTCTCCTCTCAACGAATTCACGTCGAATTTGATAAAAACCGACCTTTATCAATCCTGCTATTGCTCAATTCGGGTCTGTTGATTTTTGATTAGTCTGTGCTATGCTGTACGTGTTGCGCAATTTCGCTCGTTTGACCGAGAACGGCCTGGTATGAAAAATGGCGGATCAAGGATGGATGAGGGACCGGGTGCTACAGATTCCCCCGTTCCCCCGCCTCTTTCTCCCCCCCCCCTCCTCCATCAGACCTAGCACGTATTTTAATTTCTAACTCGATGTATTGTGTTAAAACTTCTAATGGATCCATGATATTCACTGCCTTGGCTCAACTCATTCGCAGTTTTCAACCTGAAGCGCTGGCCAAAAATATCAAATTCCCGATTCACATTTTTTTTCACTGATAACTTCTTCCCTGATCTCAATCTTATTTTGGAAAGTCGTCAATATTTAGATGTATTAGAGTATCAGATGATAGAAAAGCGTAATTTTTTCTGTGCTTTTATCAGGCGTGAGGGCAAGCGTCAGGTGAGGGTTAAAAATAGGCCATTATAGATTGTGCTTGCATAGTTTTGGCACTAGTTGGAAAAACAAGAATAGTTTTGGCTCTCTTAGCAAAAGTAGTACTGTTAGCATAATCATCATATTTCTGTTTTTGTTGTTTTTTTATTATTTTTATTTGAAGGGAACCTTGCCAGAGTCATGACTTCATTGGTCTCTAAGATTGATTTTTCTCAAGCTCGGTCAGCTTATTTTTAATTCTGTAACTTCTTAAGGAGGAAAGTTACCGTGATACTGAGTCGTTCGTCATCTAGAGGACTGGGCACACCAAAAGTAAATTTTGAGTGGACAATCTGTGCTCAAGAAGAAGCTGAGTGGTCTCTAGGAACATCACAGCCATGAAATAACTGCTGATTCCTTGACCAGTTAAGAACCGACACCAACTAAAATGAAACTGATATTATTTATTGTGTACTAGTAAACTCATTTCGTTAAAAAAAAAAATGCTTTGGTAATCACTTGCAGTAATGTTGTTATAAAATGGTGATTTTTTTGTGTTCTTTGCGCATTTAAGATAACGGATATTTCTGCGGGCCAACCCCTTGAAGAACCCCTTGCGGGCCAACCTCACAAGCAAAGTAAGTGTTTGCTTCCCCTTCAGCCTTGCAAGATCGCAAGAAGCAAAAGCAATGTGCACTGGAAAAACAATTCAGTCGTTCTATAGGTGCAGCTTCAAATTACACATGTAGACCAAGTACTTTAGCAACTCCTGCGATATCGTGGCATAAATTGTTCTTAGATCGCACTGAAACACGAAAAAGAAAAAGAATCTTGATTACAGGGCTTTACTTGCCATTTCCTATATAGTGCTTAATGTTTACAATGTCTTAGAGTACAGTGCATGTTGCACGGCCGAATGTACCCAGAGACGCCCTCCTTGAGGAATGGAGTACTTATGCTAGTATTGACTTCTATAAATCTCTCAAGCTGTTTTGGTTTGGGCGTATCCCCACGAAATAGAAACAATGGGAATTTTAAAAAACCACCATTTTGCTTCACTCACTCCCACTCCTTTTGCCGCTGTGTTCAATAGTCTCCAATTGGCACACACAGAATTATGCATTTTATCCTAGTTGTAGGGACATAGGTAGGTAATCAAAAAATATAGAACCATATCATCGTCGAGCTCATATCCGATTCAGCTATAACGCCATTCCAACTCCTTTCGAAACTAAGTGCCACTAACCAGCTAACTGTTACAATGTGACTGTATGCGTTTGCTACATTTTCGTCAACTAGTCGCCTAGTGTTATATGGGATTCAACTAGCTCCCCTAAAGGCAGTCAAGAATCCCTGTGATTCTTTGATGAATAGGACACGAGGCAACAGCTGTTTTCTTTTCTTTCTCTTTTTCTGAAAATCCTATTCATCGTGGTCTTTTTGAACTGCAAGGGAAGAATAATTTACATGGTAAATAATGCAGAGGAGCAGTGTGATCAGTAAACGGGACTGGTTCAGGAAAAAAAAAAAGGAATAGGTGTTCAGTTAATTTAGTTCTTTTTTCTTACTATTTCTCACTCCATAACTTTGTGATTTCCATTAATTAGTATATATGTTCATTCGACAGAATTGCCAGTTCATGGAAGCTTATTCGGCTCGTTTTTATTAAAACCCAACAAACAAGAGACAAAATGAAAAGTCTTTTGCCATAATTTATCCCGGTTTCTGAATTACAAAGTTAGTCATAGTATGTCGATTATAAATTGATCTGTCACCAGCAATTTTCCAAAATTTGCGATAAGTTTCTAAGAAAAAAATTACACATTCGCACTCCCAGATGCAGAGATGTATGTGAAAGGGTGAGACCGACCGGTCTTCTAACTGAGCTATTAGAGAATTAATTTAATATTTTATGGGACCTACCTTTGTGAAACGCACTTTGCTCGTTGTTTCTGTTACTGAACTGGTGTTCTTCATTCTTGGCAAGACCTGCTTGGAATTGGCATGGTCTGGGACTGTGAGTGCTAGTCTTAAGTCCTATGTAGCAGAGCAAACACGTATTTCGTTAAGAATGAATATCGTCATGTCTTCAGGGCTGCCAAAACTACTTGTTAACAGAAGCGGATCCGTGAATTTTTTATAAAAGGATCCGAACTTCGACTCCGAAAACACAGTTTTTTTTTTCTACTAAAACCTAAAGAGGTTGAAAATTTTTCAAGAAAAGACAAATTTGAATGCTTCAAGTTGCGTAGCAATATGCAATCTTGTCGTTGGAAGAAGTTTGGTTTCAGACAAGTGATACTAATACCCAGAGGTCTCAAAGGTGTGGCTGGAAGAGGGTCTTGTCTTATCTATTGGATGATTTTTTTCTATGCGATGAGGAACGAACAGAAGTTTTCTCTGATTAAACAAAGAAGATGGAAATAAGCGGGCAAATTAAGACAGCTTTATTTAAACTGTCCTTTTTCAAGTAGTTAGCTTATTATTTACCTTTTCACAATGACATGTCTTTCCAGTCGCCACAATTGGATCGGAGTGGGTATAACGAGGAGCACCTTCAGGGTTCTGTCCATTTAGACATGAAAATTAATTTTTAATTACCTTTTGTTCCTTGGTTTTTTATTGTTCGTTTTGTTTGAGTTATGGATTTGTTAGTTTTTTCCGATGTTAAAATCTTTTTGCTAAAGGCTCTCTACAACCTACTCTTTGGTCTGTTCTTAAACAGAAAATGAAGCTTTTGAATTATCAGTATTAAATACTATTCGATTCTGTTATTTATACCATAGAAATCAAATAGATCCTTTCGTCAAGAAACAAAGCAGTACATATCCAAAAATCCTAGGTTCGAATCATTTTTAAAGTACTTGGTACTTTTTTTTCAAAAATGCCTCCGGGTGTATCAATACAAATTCAAAAGCTCTTTTTTTGCAATGGATAACGAGTAGCCTTACCGTTGAGAACAGATTTCTGCACAGATTTTCCAACCTGTCAACCTGTCTCTGTCGGTTGGTCTGAAATTGTTGGAGTTCAACAAAATCCTTTTCTTCTTCTTCGGTCATCCTTTCTTCTGCCTTCGCCAAATCCTCAACTCGATGTACCAAATAAACGTGTTCAGCTCTGAGACCGTGATATACCAAATCATAAAATTTTCGTCTGACCTCCTCAATGCATTTGCAAGTCTCAGCCACACAGGAGAGAACAGAGTTGTATAGCTTTTGTAAAGCTATACTAACTCTTCTTAAAAGGTCTATCGTGACAGGAACTTTCAGTTTGTCTTCTTTTACTTCTGGTACTTCTAATAGAGACGTTACATTTCTATAAAGGTCCTTGTTGAGGTCTTGCAGCGTTTTACAGATTTCACTCTCTGTGTTTGCTCGTTCGGGTTCAAGATAATTTCTGGCATCTTCTGAATCATCCTCTCCACATGAAATATCGAAATTCTCCAAATCCTATTAAAGTTAACAGAACTTTCTTCGTCATCAGAAGAAAAAGAAGAAAGGTGAGTGGTAATTCATAAAAGCGAGAAATGGTCTCGGTAAAAACGTATCTATTTGGCCGGGCCCAAACTCGTAACAAGACACGCCGCTATCCACAGATGCTTACATTTTTTCTCATCACTAACACACCTATTAAGAAAAGGAGAATGTAATGACGGTGGAACGGCACCGCGCATTATTCAAAAGTGTGTGATTAAGCCTAAAGAAAATTTTCAAAACTTGTATTTTTCAATCCTTGTCTATCGTTTCTTGTCTTGCTTTTTCTCCAATTTCGGTCAAACAATATTCATTCTTTCCATGGAGTCTCCTAACTTGTACTTCATTGTCTTCAGTCTTTCATATTAGCTAACCGTTCCCTTTCAATTTCAAAATTCTGGGTATCACTAATTCAAACTGTGTTATATGGAAATTTTTGACGCATTGACCAATTGTTACAGGGAAATGAAATCGAAAGTTTCCGTCGACCTTTGACAAAAGATGTTACGTTACCATGTTGATTATCCTACGATTACCAACCTTTTCAGAAGAGTCGTGAAGTCTCTGTTTTATTGTGAACAGTTCCTTTTCCAGTTCGAGAATTATTGTCCTTAATATCTGGCTCTGTTTTATCGAAGGGAACAAAAGAAACAATACTTTTTTTTTGTTTCAATCAAAAGAGAAAGTTATGGATTGAGTCTCTGTCCTTTGACAAAGAATCACATGTTAGGAAAGGAAAGAAGGAAAAAGATCTAAATCAATGAAAATGGCTTTCAGTTCCAACTCCCGATAGCAAAAGGCTTTGTATTATTAACTAACCTCTTTTAAAGTTTGTTGAACTTTTTGCTTCAAAGTCTGCTTTTCTTTTTCTAGCTTCTGGATTCTCGCCTGCAATTGGTTTCACTGTTTATTTGTAAATATAAATCCACTCCAAATTACCTATACTTCTGATAAAAGCTAGAGAAAATACCTTCTCATACAATTTATTTCCTCTTTTGGCATATTTCATTTGTACTGTTTTCCATTTGATATTAGGGGGGACAAATAAAATTTTTGAAAATTCTCAACCTAATGACTTCTTTTATTGGCAGATCCTTTGCAAAGTTCACGGAAGCATTTTTTTGTAAACAATCGACTAAATGTTGGGAAAACCCTCTAAAGGATCGTTTAACCCGAAAGTGAAAGCTTAATTGCTATTATCAGCTTGGTATCCAGATACTGAGGATCGCACTCAACCATACAGAAAAGATTCAAAGAGAGGTTTATATATTTATCCCATTACATTGTCATTCATTTACCTGGTCTGAATCACTTACTTCTGATTTCTCCTTTCTCGATGACAAAAGACCTATAAAGATAAAAACGAACTCTGTATATCTTGCAGGTGAAGAGCTATACTTGCTTTTCAAAAAAAAGAAAAATCTAACTCTTCCTGTTAAAAATTTACGAATTGGTAAATGATATTCAACTGAAAACTATACAAAATTTTTATATCAACCAAGCGATTTTTTTTTAAAGAAGTTAGAGATATAACGAATGAAAATAGCGCATTGAAGATCAATCGAAACATGTGCGCATGTTTTTATCGATATCGCTCACCGTTAACGGTGGCGAAGATTTGCGAAATTATGAACAGTTTTTCTATGGCAAGCAAGCTTTCCAGTGACGTGGTTGAATTAAATCACAAAAATTCTCTTGTAGACTCGTTCTGGTATGCAGTAAAGCACAGACTTCCAAGAAAAAAAGCCTATCCTTCAGAAGGGAATGGTGGCAAGGCTTTACTTATCAACTGCGAAAGAGTTCTACATCTTATCATTTTTGTATGCTAAATTTCCATCTGTGGTAACTTTAAGAGTTTTTCTTTCCGTAGTCACATGATGCCTTTACCAAACATCATAACGGCCAATTACGTAGTTAAGGAGAGGTTACAAACAATATGTTCATAAATCCTATATCTTTACTGCACAGGCAAACCCTTTCTTACTTGTAAAAACAACAGATCGCACTTTCCATCGGTTTACCGGCGTAATTCCACCCGCAGGACGTTGGGAGAACACGAGAAAAGTTTATAAATCACGAGCCGGATGCAAGTGACTTACAAAAAAATTAGGAGTTCTACCTTCAACGGTATCTGGTCCCAAAGGAACACGATCAGCGCTTTCCTCCTCTGAATCTCCAGATTTTTCAGCATCTCCAAAATACTCCTCCTCTGAGATGTGGTAATCTTTCGGCACTTTTTTCAAACGTATTACATCAGAATTTTCTGTCATTAAAAAATAGAGAACCAATGAATTGTGGCAAACAAACTGAGGAATATCTAGTATGTATATCTAGTTGTCCTGTTCTAACGTGTATTAATTTCAGCTTGTTCTAGAAGTGACTGGAGTTACACTACGGACTTAAACATGAGATGCAACAATTAAAATAATGTCTGTTACCAGAACATGTTGTGCCTTCCTCGACAGCTCTAACAAGTTCGTTCCAATCAGTATCAATCAATCCTAGAGAGGTTGGTTCATCATTTTCAGAAAATCTGTCAAGAAAAGAGAAAATTGTACGTGACAATTACGGTATGAATTATATATATTTTTTTTTTTGCGATGAAGAATTTATTTGGTTTCATATTTTTACTTCAGTTTAAAGCAAACATTTTCCTTATTTAAGAAATTCGTATTTATCGCCCTTTCCCTTTAAATTTTTTTCAAAAAGTGAGCTACCTTTTGGTTATTTCTCTGAGATAATTTGCCACCTCTTTGTGGTCATGAGCCTCTGCAACATCTTCTGGTAAAACAGATTCTTTTCTGTATGATTCAAAGATTACCCTCCCAGCCGATGAGGTGAAGATAGAGCGAAGAAGTTCTTCTTTACCAATTTGTGCAGCTGTGTAAACCAAAGGCCGTAAAACATCTACAGGTTCCAAAGAGGCATCTTCATTTGAATTACCTAGGAAAGAAGAATACTCTTAAATCATTCCATTTTTGAGAAGCCAACACCGCAAAATATTTCCAGCTCTTTGAAAAAAGCGAGAACATTTGTACCAGACTGCTGTTGCGGGACATTTTCTTCACTGACGTCACTTTTAAAATGCTTTGAGGCTTCTTGAAAGAACTCAGCCAACTTCCTTTTACTTGAAACGATTTCTTTCATTGCTTCTTTGTGTTGGTCTGTGTATGTAAATATCGTCTCCCCTAAGCTGTAACCATCAGGTGTCACAATCGTTACTGTGACAGGTCCCGGTTTGTACCCAGCTAAATTGTGGATTGAAAAAATAAGTCATTTTTTGGGTATATCCCTGAGGCGGTGAAGCGTTTTGAAACGCGTGGGAGGGGAGCTTGTCTTTTATCAAGGCATGCGTACACCCTTACTTAAATTTTCCAAAATGCCTTTTGCGTTGTTCGTAGGGAAAAGGAAATGTCTATGCAGTCTTTACAGTTTCGCGTGAGTCTGTGACCGATTATGACCCACTTTCCTTTTTCTAGCACAGTCTAAAATCTTCCCGTGTGGTATTCGATTGGGTCCCCACAGACAAAATTAGATCATGTTTAATTTCCTAATTGCTGCATTTGATAAGCTTCTCGAACGGCAGGCCGGAGCTGTGCAAAAAACCGTTTTACAACATATTGCCACAGAGAAGTTAAAGACCTCACAACCTTTTACAAACTGAAGCGTAGGCATTTTAACTTTTCATTTGATTCGTATCTTTCATTTTGTTCAGATGAGAGATTGAGATCATACGCTAGTAATAAAACTGAAAGTTAATAGAGTTAGAACGGAACTTTTTAAGGGAACAGTTTTTTTGACAGGATTCCGTATTTATGGAACAATTTGCCAGATGAGCCGAGGACTGCAAATTTTAGTGTTTCTCTTTTAAGAGATTATGCACTAACTTCTATAAAGATATGGTCTTCGACCCTGAGCGCCCCATACCACCTAGGCTAAAATCAGCAGTTAGTTGGTAAGGTTGCTAGTTTGTAAGTTAGTCTTTTTATAACGGGTTGACTCAGTAACACGCATGGTTCGTCAGTTCCCTTCTAGTCTACCCCACTGCCTTGTTATGGACTTAGATTTTTTTTAAATGTTATTGTAATTATTAATACTGTTTTTATTATTGTTATTATCTTAAGGTTGCTAGTTAGTAAGTTAATCTTTTTATAATGGGTTAACTAGCACGCGTGGTTCGTCAGTTCCCTTCTTGTCTACCCCACTGCTTTGTTATGGACTTGGATTTTTATTGATTGTATTGTAATTAGCAATACTATTATTATTAATATTATTATTATTATTATCATTATCATTATCATGTGATGATGTAATTGCTGGGAAAATGAACTAAAAATATTAATTCGTCAAGCGCGATGCTGACATAAGTATATGCAAAAAAAATCACGAGATCGAATATGTTCATGCTGCGTTAGCGATATTTTCGACACCGAAACGTGAGGGGGGGCTGCGCCCCCCACCCCGTCCCCCCCGGTTCCGCCGCCTATGTTAAAGCAACAAGGGAACTGACAACTAAAACAGCTAAAACTGATGAGACACAGGAAAGAGGTGATTAAACTACTTACGGGGAATTTTCTTTCCATGCATAGTAACAGAACCAAGACCCTCTTCATAGGTCTTCCACGCTTTCACTTCTTTGCTTCCAAATGTCACCCATACAAACTTTACAGAAGGTGGAAGATCTCTTTCCAATTCCAAGTAAAACGGTTCACCACCCTTTTCAAATGAAACGAGAGGACTTTTGTTACAGAAGACAATCCTCCCTTAATCAATGAATACACTTTTATCTCGCAGGTATGAACCCCATCCTTGTCATATTTGGATGGGTAATAAAAATAATTTGCCTACTTTGGCTCACCTGCAAAGGCCCCTGTTTAGGCTCTATTTCTGGCGCATAAGCTCCTTGTCGTTGAAAATGTCGGACGACGGGTAAATCCTGCGACATTCTCTCCACTGCATGTAAATTGTAAATTTCAACATATTATATCAAAGATTAAAGTTTGTGACAAAATAAGGAATCAAGTTCCTACCTTGGAGGGAAATGGGTAGCTTTTAAAGTCTAATTCTTATGCCTTGTACAAAATGAAACATTGAAAGAAAGGTTAATGAGAGGATAATGACAATTCCATGTACGACACTACATTAGAAATTAATCCTTAATTGTGACATGATTTCCGCGGTCCAGCCTTTGATCCTGAGACATGATTGAGACGCCAAATACATAGCGTATTTGGCGCTGACTGCTTTACGAAAATTCTATGCAGGCGCAATTTTAAAACTACGTCAGAAACAACAATATAAGCTACCGGGCTTCGTACTTCTTTGCTTTGTTTGTCACTCTTTTCGTCTATCGTTATTGAGCTTATGCAAGCACAGTTCTTGCTCACCTTCTGACGAACCCAAAGCGCTATCGGAACTTTGCGAGGCATCAGCAGAGGTTATGAGCACTTTGTGTTGTTGCTGTTCAGAAAATGAAAGAGAATTATCTTTAAAGACAGGGGTATCCATTAGTCCTCTTTCAAAAACTTTGTGCAGGGCGCTGCATGGTCAGTTCAAATCCTAGACAGGGTTTCTAACAGGGTTTTCCATAAATGATGAGATCACGAAAACCACTCAAACTAACGAGCCGACCAAACTTTTTATGGAAAAATTGACATGTGATCATACCACTGAACTAAAAACTTAATTTTCAAAAATCACTTTCAAATATTTACCTCACTTTCTTCATTATTTTCTTTAGTAGATGGCGATGGCAATTCTCTAGGAAGACTGGAGTAATCCTTGCGGTCTAAAGAGCTAAAATCTGCTGAATCACCCACTGAGATAAAATAATTTTAACATATGCGTAAACAAATCTCTCGTGTGGAAAAAAAAGGAGACATAATGTTTGAAAATGTCTTTTGTGAGTAAACTTACTTCCTGTATTACCACTGTCGAAAGAATTGGCCATTGTCGTCACTTGCGGTACACAATACTGGGCCACGGACAACTTAAACAAACAAGAAAAAGAAAGATTATCATTCACTTTCACCAAAACATAATCAAAGGATCAAATGCTGATATAGAAGACTTTTCTTGGAAACACAATGATGGGTGTATACTAGCTATTTCAAATAGATAGACCGTTATTCGTGAGAAAACTCAAAGTACGGTAACAAGTAAGGGGTTCAGTGAGGTTTGCTCGCCTGTTCTCATCTTAGGTGTGATTGGTCAGTTCATACTACTGAATTGAAAACTTAACTTTCAAACCTTAGTTTCTACCATTTACCTCACTTTCTTCATTATCATCTTCAGTCGATGGAAAATCTCTTGAAACGGTTTCAGCATATCCAATGAATGGTCCAGGGCTCATGTCAGGGAGGAATTCCTCAAGATCGAAGCCTTACAATACAATACAATATTTTATTTAACCACGTCAACACTTAGTTTTACAACTCGTTAAAACGTGTACGTGAGAGAACAAAAAAAAATTAATAATAATAATAATAATAATTTGAATAGCAAACTTTATTAACACTCAAAACAAATAGCTGTTTACAAGTTAAAAGTAAAAACGACCTAATAGTAGTTCCGATTTCAATTAAAATCCTATTTACAATCTAATCCTTTTCATCATCATCAACATTATTATTGTCGATGCTAAAATAAAAATGCGTCTTTATTGTTCAAGAGATAAAATTACACTAGCCCTAAAATATAATCATAATAATTTACTAAATTCACAAAAAAGTAGAAACAAAAAAAAAAGTATAGATAAAACTTGGTAAAATTCACAAAACTACGTTGGACAAGCGGTAGCGTTGTCGAGGGAGAAGTCCAAGTCTATGATATCGAGGGTTCTTCTGATGGATCGTGATCCTCTCAGGCATAGCAAAGCTGAACGAATGAGCGCAAATGACATCTTGGCTCTAATCCATGACATGGTGCTGGCATAGCTCTCTCCCTTCTTATTTGATACTTACTCATCTATACTTTTATGGTATATTTTACATTCTGTGCCCATTCCACCTGTTGTACTAAATTTTAAAGGCGTAAAAGTTCCTTATTCGACCTCCATGACCCTGTTGGCATAATGACGTTTCTTCTCACTCTCATGCTGCCTGTAAACTTGCTCGGGAGTCTTTTCACGGTAGGATTCTGCATTTGGGTGGCATAACCGAACATCAAAGAATGCAGATCTCTGTCGCTCTCAGAAACCTCTTGAACCGCCGTCCAGTTAGCCCAATGGATGATGCGCTCGACTGTTGTGCGGGAGCTCGGGGGTTCGAGCCCCGGCCGGACCAACACTCAAGGTCTTAAAATAATTGAGAAGAATTTGCTACCTTTCTATAACATCAAGAAATGGTTAGATATTCTAGTCTTCTCGGATAGGGACGAATAAATGGAGGTCCCGTCTCCTGCAGGGTTAGGGGTAGGAGACGTTAATTTCCCACGCACGAGATTACTGTGTGATGGATGTCCTCCCCTGGGGTGGGATGGGCTTACTGGGCCCGCATTAATTGGCGCAAGCTGTTGCGGTGTCCCTGCCGGTCGGTGAAGCTAATAAACTAAGCCTCGGGCGTGTATGTCGAGACGTGCGTCGCGGGCTCTGTTCGAACCCCTATTCAAGGTCTCCCCTGTTATCTGCTGAAGAATCGGCTCCACCTCGACATCACTAGATACTATGCGTAGCAGGTCAGCTTCTAGATCTCGAAGCTCGTTGTGACGTGGAATCACAAAACGACCCCTCCTGCAGATCATCGCATGGTCAACATCAAAGAAATCTCCGCATACGCAGGTCTTCTGTAGATCGAAGATTTCCCAGACATATCTAATCTTGGTGGCGTCTCTAAATTCTCGCTTGCTTACATTGTAGCCCAGATCTTTCATGGGTATAACAATTAGCCAGCTCGAAGCGCCCTTTTCCGATGCTAGCTCTACCGCTCTCATAGGTCTTGATGTTAGGCTGTTCTTGACCGACTCTTATGTCTCTTTTAGGAGCTCATTTTTCTTAGCTTGTGCATGTAATTTTGCAGAGCGCGTGTCTACCGCATCCGGAGGTAGATGGTCTTGAGTCACAATGCGTGTCATCAGGGGTTTTGTGACAGTGACTGATGCCTCGTATTCTATAGATGACAATTGTCTCGAACCATTTCGCCATCAATTTCCCGAAACATCATGTATGGGATGTCTTCAATGGGTCCAAAGAGTAGGGATCCTAGGCGGGCTTCCTGTGCATCCGGGTACTTTTCCTTGAATTACCTCATGACGTCATCATTTAGAGGAAGAACTCCTCCTCCATTATCATCACTAAGATAACACGGAGCAGCGTTGATTTGGCCTCTCATGACAAGATAAGCAAACACTTTAGCTTTATTAGGCCCTTTCATTTTAATAGAATTAGTGAGACGTCTTTGAATCATCCACCCTTCACGCAGTAATAATAATAATAATTGCAATAAATATTTAAAAATAACTATAAAAGATACAAATATTTATATATATATAATAAGTGTAACAATTAAAAGTTATAAAATTCGACAATCTAACTAAATTACATGTATTATGAAGTTCTAACTAGTTCTGATAATTTCCTTAAATAGAAGCTATGAAAAATTATACTTATATAATGATTCTTTAAAAGTGCTCATTGAATTAGATTCTCTGATCTTAACAGGAAGTCTTTTCCACAATCTACTTACAATATTCTAATCTAGTGCCCGTACCTCTAAGATTGTGTTTAACTTCCCTGAGCTTAAAAAACTCACTGATATAACTAATTTATGTCTTTTCTGTAACAATCAGTTTATTCTTCTATTACCTAACAGCGAATATTAGGGATAAGTATACTTTGTGGCGGGAAGTACACTTAACCCTGAAATCACTAATTCTTTTATATCATCCGCTCAAAGTGGAAAAATTACCTTGGGAGTTGTGTGTATTCATTCCGCCATTCTGGATATCAAAAATTAAGAAAGAAATAATGCAAAAGTACGTTAGTGAAGATAGTGTCACATCACCCTCATACTATGACAGGTTTTTGAAAGGAAAGATACTCTAAAAATGCTGAATTTAATGATAATGAAATTTAGAAAACTTAGCAGTCACTCGGTAAAAATTCAGTGATATTTCACAAACCTTTGTTCACTAACTAAGCGATACCTTGTGGGCGCGGGAGAATGTTCAAAAGTTCTCTAAGTACCTCAAATCCCAGATCACTTTTAAAACCAAGTGGATCCGTGGGGTTAAGATTGGACAAATCGTTGAAGTCTAAAGGGCTAAAATCTGCTGAATCACCTACTGAGATAAAATAATTTTGACATATACTCAAACAAATCTCTCTCGTAGAAACAAAAGGAGACAATGTTTGAAAACGTCTTTTGTGATTATGAGTAAACTTACTTCTTGTCTTACCACTGTCGAAAGGAGTGGCTACTGTCATCACTTTTGGTACACCATACTGAGCCAAGGCCTGAAGAAAAAAGCCGCATTTTGCTTCCTTCATTATTCATTATTAATATAGTCGACGATCACTTCGCTTAAGGTTTAAATACATTTCGTTTAACATTACGAGTCTTTTCAATTTGCGTATTGCTTAAAGTATGGTGGAAACTCATGTCAGGGCATATTTCCATCTGGATTTCACCCCATGTGATAGAAATTTTAACTTATTGCTTTTTAGACGTTCATGTACACTTTTTTACGATTCGAGTATTTCGTAGCATATCTGCTTTTTACCTGGACCAGTAATATGTTGGGGATGAGTGGTGCAACAAAGTCATAAAAAACACACCGACGGTCAGACGGTTGCGATCCCTTGGCTTTATGGGTTTCCTATTTTCTTGCGTATGAGGTTACACTGCCCGGGGTGAACGCCGCTAATCACTCTGTTTTAAATATCAAAATCTGCCCAGCTTTTTTAGTAGTAATTAAAACTCCTTACCAGTTGGTAAGGTAGAGGCAACTCAAAATTTAACTGGTTGACTGCAACCTTATCGGCCTCTATGAAAAAAGAGAATCAGTTTTAGTTTTAATGGATTTTTAGGCCTAAATGTATATGGCACCGTTGTACAAGCCAAGAGTTATACCTTAATTGATCCGAACGTAAACTTTAAACTGAACTTTATACTGTAGAGTTACCTGTATTATTCGATGTGTCTCTTGACAATCGCTGCAGCAGCTGAGATGCATTCATCAGTTGAGAAATACACAAAACAATAATACAAAGAACGTTTAAAAAGCGTGACAAAACTATAAATACACAAGCAGTAATATTTTGGGAGATATTCTACAAAATTCCTTTGAATCATTCTCAAGAGCAGAGATATCCTACGTGTTCTTTTCCGACCTTAAGACCCTTAACTTCAAACACTCCATGAGGATTCTTCCATAGCTGTTATAACATTTTCTGGTAAATCAAGTAGGAGAATCTAGATATATTGAGAGAAAACACCCTGCAGCAAGAAGATTATGGTGGAGGACATTCTAATGATAGTTTAATGATATAGTTTGATAGTTTAATGATATATATTAATGATATATTACAATATTACAAAAAATATGCACTGCCCGCAGTTAGCAAAGACTAGTCGAGGCGGGCAGTGTTTGATACGTATATTATAAAATATGAAGTAAAAAGATTTACCGAGCAAGAGATTCAAAATTCTAGACAAATTACAACTACATTAATACATTTTAGATACGGCAAGAAAACAGAACAAGCTGGAGTCTTACAGTTGTGGTATTAAAGTAGACAAATCAATGTCATGAATCGTCATATTTTTCGAGTCTCTGGAGGAGGAAATCATGAATTTTACTCTTAAAGTTGTATTTTGATGGCTGACGCATAGTCTTCTTCCTTAGAAGGGTACTATATCTATCCACAAGCTTACACTGAGACACTAGGTCGCCTGAAGTTGCCTAAACGTATCTCAAGCGAAGAGCGGTCAGTAACAAGACAGAAGCATGATTGACAGGATAATGTTTTACTTTCAACAGAGTTGACAAAGTCAATCGCCCACCGTTAAATCAAATAATCAGCCTCCCTCTTCCCTAATTACAGTTTTTTGGCACACTAAACTGATGATTATTACGTCTGATTTATTTTTTCTATCCTGTCTAATAATAATCTTAAAGACAAAAATCGCATTGCTGAAATACCTCATCCTCAACAATGACTATTATCAGGGCCGAACCACCTCTTAGTCTGCTATTGATGGTTTTGCCATTCCAAATACCGCGATCGCCATTGAAGTCCAATTCTGCCTCATTCTGAGTTTTCCTTGCTGCGCACCAAAACCTTCATTACAATTAAACGCAAAAAAAATTGAATTAGTTAACATTCATTGAAATGACCACATAAAAACTCCTTAGCGTCCCTAAATAGGTCACACACCCTGGAGGAGAAGCAATACCCTAACGGGAAGAACATAACTTGTAAATTTAATGGACAAAGTTTCTAAGAGCATAAACAATCCTTACCATATTTTTACTTAAAAAGATAAATCCGAGCGGAAATTAACAGTACCGAGGTTTAGCCAACTATTCTTGTGTAAAGACACTGAAGTGTCCGTACTAAGACAGTGATAACCCCCAGAGAGCCCAATTAAAACCAGTTTTTTTTAATACAGAAGCGATCAGCTTTAGTTGCTGAGCCAGAAATCTGATTTTTTAAAATAAGTAATAGTAACCTTTTTCCTTTTAAGATGTCAAAGGTTTCTTCAAGTTTCCTTCTTACAGATTCTTCATTCATACTTTTTTGAAAGACGACTTTAGCCTTATAATGCCCCTCATTCTTCTTTATTTGCGCCATTTTCATGTTGTTTGGTGTCAGTACTGCACCGTTTTGTACTTGTACGTCTTTACTTTCGAGAACAGTAACATTTTTCAATAAGATAGTGGAGTTCCTTGGTAAGTCCATATTCTGCCTTCTCGATGCCAACAATGGTATATGCTCCCTGACACAAAAAGGTTCCATGCGATAACTTTGTTAGTCTATCAAACGCATAGAATTTGCCTCGCGTTATTTGAGGTAAATATATGAACCAGTCTCAGTTTGGGTTGCAGTGGCTCATAAAATGTTATCTATTCAAAATTAAAGTAACAAAACAACAAAATGTGATAATCTAGACTAACCCGAAGATATGGTCAAAACTAGTGTAGAGGATAGTTCAATTTCGTTGCGTCAATAACAATATTTCCACTAATTCGGATTTTTCTTTTCACAAATACGTTAAGGATTCAAAGTTTTAGAGGTTAAGTACCCATGCTATCTTCCTTCAACATCTAGTCGCACAAATTTGTGTTTTAATCTGAATGAATAAGTGATCGGAAACCCGGAAATAGTTTTTCTCGTCTCGATTTCTAACTGTCATTTTTTTTTTTTTTTTTTTTTTGCAGTTTCCTTTAAAACAGATATTACCTTTTAGAATGAAAAAAACGATCAAAGTAAAGACTTTGGAGCGACATCTGATACCAAAGTGAGCTCTGAACATTTCGAAGACGAGGATTTTATATTTGCAGACGGCCAAACTAAGAGATTGAAAGCAGGCGCGTGACCATCATTGTTTTTATGTTCAACAAAAAGCTATTTCAAAAAGAAATGGTGTTACGCTTCCGGCATGATAATGTTAGGCCTGGTCGTTACAGGTCAGGAAAATTCAGACCAAAATGAATTACTTACAGGCATAAGAAAAATCTTGGAATTTCACTTTGAGTCACGGGAAGTTTACATCTTTGAAAAAGATACAGGCAAAAGTGAAATTTCAAGTAAATACGAAGTTGTTCATATTATCTTGGGAGTCTTCGTGATGATATAGGTTGACTGTACATTGATTCGCTCAGACGAAGGGCTAACGCTCGAAACCTCAGCTTTTTAACTCTTTACAGTGGCCAAGTTACATTTTCAACTTAGTTGATATAACCAAATTTCCTTGTTACCCCCAATGATGCAACACCACAGTTTCTTTAGAAACTTACCCCCTTATTCATTGTTCTCAATAGTTGAAAGATTCCTGACAGGCATATCCTTCCCTTTCTAATGCAAGTTGAAGTTGAATTGAAATATTGGATGTTGACACCCATGCCCAGCCTTAACCGAGTAACCTGCTTGCAGTTTTGGGTAAATTCAGTGATTCAGCGGGGCGAATATTCGGTCGCCATATTGGACGGGTGGGAGATCTGGTGCGAGTGGCAAGGCGAGGGGGAGGGTGGAGGGGAAATCTCGCGCTCGGAACACAAACTACCGCCTGCAAGCAGGCTATCGCAAAATATAAAAAGCTTTACTGTTTTTGACAAAATGTATCTTCATTCTAACCTCAAATCACAAAATCGCCAAAACGTTCTTCTTGCAATAAATTTGCTTCCCTTTAGTCCTTTCCATGTATTTTTGCGACCTTGAAATTGTGCTCACAAGTTTGTTTTTCCAGCTTGAGGTTGTCTTTAACCTCAGTTAAAGACTCCATTTCGATTGCCACCGATTTCTATATTACTTTAGTCATTTCAGTGCTGATTTATCCGTGAATATTAACATTTCGGCAGGAGAAGAAGGAATTTTGTCTATAATATGCCGTATGCGGCACATGATTAGCAGCCATTTTGAATTCTGGTTTACCTATTTCGAACCAAGCGACCACATAGCTACAAAGGTCTATTGTCGAGTAACAGTCGTGTAAAGTGAATCAAACTGATTTCATGGGTAAACGCTGAAAACAGCGAGGGAGCTGCTTTTGCTCAGAGTAAAGGAAATGTTATTGAGCAAGTAAAATTCCGCGATAAAGCTTCGCAACGGCTAAGCCTTGAGGGGTTACCATGGTGAACTGACAACACCATCACATTATTACTGAAATAAAGTTTGCATCACGGTTCAAAACACAGAAAGCTCAATTTGTGTTTCTTGTCATTATATATGAGTAACTTTTGCATTCGTAACTTACATCTAATACGATTATTGTTTCAACGGTTTGTGAAATGTTTTGTTTACGTTAAGCGGAAGTACATGGCGACCACACTGTAGGTCATATTTTTCTCTTACCTGTTTAATCAATAACTCTGGCAGTTGTAGAGCAATCATAGGAAAGAGGCACCTATTCTTGAACATTGGACAAAAATATGGTCATTAATAACAGACAACAATTGGTTTGGCACTAACTACTTTATTAGATAATCACAAGATTATCCAACGGTAGATGATTGGCATCATTAAGAGTAACGAACAGAACATCAGCTGGGCCACTTATTTATCACAGATTGCTTTTATCTGGCGAGGGATCACCAATGTATTAATGAATTAAAGAGTCCCTTTATCAGCTTGGAAAACGACCCATCTGAAAATATTCACATCACTAGAACCGTACCGTAGCCCCACAAAATTATTCAAGGTCTTGTGATCCACTGAGTTGGTCTGATGAACAAGCAAAAGAAGACATGTCGCCACAAAAACACTCATTTAAGATGGACGGAAGTAACAGATAGGAAGGAAAAAAGTAATTTCAAACTGAATGGGATAAAATCTAAAAAGCAATTCGTTAAAAATGAATCGCTGGGAATTGACATGAAGAGTGGAGACTGGACTTCAGCAAAGCTTTCTCTTTGTTTAATTGAAACTGAAAATCACCTGAGTAGCATTGAATAATCATGTGACTATAACTTAGTAGCTCTCATTATCATTAAGAGTTTTTATCGCATAGAAATGTAGCTCGGTGATTGATTACAGGCAAGAATTCTAAGAAAAAATGGAACTTTCAATGTAAGCACATGTACACTATAACACTTTTTCGTAAAAAGCTTCACCTAGCTTTACATACCATTGACACAGCGAGGAGTAATTGTTTACATGGCTGAATTCTAGTCTTTCGGAACTAATGCGGCCTCGAAATAAAAACTAACAAATTCTACCCTGGCATCATAACAAAATTGGAATATAAAAGCTTATTCTTGCCCCCATATAAGCACAAGGATAAGCTAACAGCTTAGCATGAACCAAGACCAGAGCATAAAGTCAAGAAATAATTTGACTCGGAATGCATTGTATTTAGGATTTCTTTGAGACACTCGTCGGCAAACGAACATTATCGAACAAAAAAATCAAAAAAAAAAATTTTTAATTATGTTATAGCACATCTCTGTTGTCCGCTAAATCCCGGTATTTTCTTTTAGTACGAATTAAGATGAAAGAGCTATAATACGGCGCGTGGAGCAGCCTTTACGAAAGACAACGTTCCTTTGAGATCCTGCCAGTTCACTGCATCGTTTGCGATGTTTACGCAGAAGTCCGCCTTTCACTTATTTTTTTTCCTATGAATAGAATTTCCTCACTGGAAATAATGTTACAAGCAAATTCACATGACAACAAAGGTTGATGCTCGTCTTTCTTGCGGTATTATTTACTTTAGGTTTAGTTTGCGACTGCTCTTACTCACTCGTGTAGGTCTTCGCGTTTGTTCCATGATTCGGTTGTAAGGGCCTAAAAATTTCAACGGCCTACTCCTTTATCAAGAACAATTAATCATAAACAAAACCACCGACCGCCAGGTCGGAGACTCAGGGTCGAATTAAACAAAATTTGTCCAAAGTTTTAAATGATTAGCCTTCAAATTGCACGACTAGAACAGTGCTTTCCAATCTCCTCATAAAAAAACTTCGTTGCCGGTTTGAATAAACTCCTTCTCTTACCTGAGAAAATCTCCGAGTCCTCTAACTATGAAATATGAAGCCAATTAATTCTAGTAGAGTGAACTCAGTCAGAAGTACAACCACCGAAAATGAACTGTGAAGACTGAAATGATCTGATGCCAACCAAGATCTTATAATTCAATGCTGTATGGTCACGCTATCGTGCATTTGAATGAATATTCTGACTCATAAACTAACCGCATAGAGATGATAGAAATTGATTAAATGAATACATAACAGGCCATTTTACAATGTTTTAAGACCAGGATTTTGCATTGTATCAAATAAGAGATTATCGGTAGGTACACATGCTAAAAGAAGAGATTCTGTTTGCATATATGTCTCTATTTTTCATGAATACGGCTGGACTAAATCCAAAGCTATTTTTAGTTGTTCACAGCTTCCTCTTTGAATGATCTTTAAGTGATGGAATAGTCAGGTGACCATACACTTTCGTCTCCAGGTCCCCTCGCAATAACGAGCTTGGTAGCCAGATCTCCATCGGCAAGAAAAAGGTGACACGTATGCCCATTTCCGAGATTTTTACAAATTTCAAATTTCAGGAGGCTTACATCATATTTGCCTTCGTGAACAATATTAATTAGCGTGAACTGGAGGACTAGTGAAATGATATTTGCATGAGGAAAATAGCTTCAGAAATAGTGAATTCACAATAGCCCTGAAGAGAAAATAAATTAACGATATCTTCAAATTTATTTTCATACTTTGACTTATACTTACCCTCTTCTCTCCCTTCCGTAAGCGTGCGTGAGTGACTCCACGCGCGTGAATGAAGAATCGTGCGAGGGTTGCACT